AAGCTCTAGTTGATGTAAAAGCTTCCCAAATGAGTTTGTACATGACAAAGAGTGAGCGAGGACATCTGTTCCTGCTTGGACTAAATATATTCTGTGTGTGTTTGTGCACAAAGTGCTTCCTCAGTAGATGTGTTGATTACCATTCCAGCTGACTCACTGCACTGCCTCTGAAGACAGAGGGTCAGCGAGAACATTTTATTATACAGTAAGAAATTAGGTCGACTCACATGGATGGATTTTTCCCGGATAGGTGTTAAATATTTCGCATACATTTTCTTCTTTTTGTAGCCTGTTTTTCATCTCGCTTTTTCCCCTTATGCGGTGAATCATGTTTCCGTATGCAGCTTGAGGAGTTTATGCTGATTTAAACAAAGCTGTAAAGTCATCATTGTTGTTTATGATTGTCGGATATTTGATTTTTCAATGCAAATCTTCAAATACAGTGAATTATTTTTTTACAAGCAATTTCCCATTAAATGTACAATATGTAGAATTTTTACGCTAAAATATAGGCTATCTAAATTAATAAAAAATTGACTAAACCTATGTCATATATTTTTTGTTGTTGAGTACTTACATTACCTCAAATATATCCAACAGTAATGTAAGCCAGAGAAATCAGTTTGTTTAAAGTTGTAACAGGACGTGCCACTATAACAGGCCCAACATGTTTATCGTTGCCATGGAAACACTGGATGTTACATAAAAGGCCGCTGCATAAGTAAGTGGCAATTGCTACTGAAAGCTGCCGTACTGTGGCTGTATGTGCTGCTTTGATAAAAACGTCAATTATAATGAGATACATATATGTAGACATATTCTCTTCCTCAGGTCGGTTTCGCTTTGTTTGTTTTTATTGGGGGTGGACTGGGGGTGGGGGTCTTGACATCATCTTTTGTTGTTGTTTTGATTGAGAGCCCCCTGGTGGCGGAATTTACATACTGTGCGTTTAATGTTGACCCCACATGACAATACAATTCATAATACATTATACACAGAACTGGGAGAAAAAAGTCACACATGGCCTTGAAGCTGCAAACTAATTGCATGATTTCTCATGATCCAACATGCTGTAGTCACAAGTTATGGATATATTTGGACATTATCTGCCATGTAAAGATTAGAATTTGTCTCAGAAGAGGAAACACATATTCCTCTATTTCTTCATATGACACACACACAGCTATGTTAAACCCATGGGGGATGTGGGTCAGTGCTGCTTAGCCTGCAGGTTTAGGCCTTGAACACTAATCAGAGGTGGTGCTGGAATGTAGACAGTCACACATAGAAGCTTTAAGTTTCAAGAGCCGATTATTAAGACGGTTACGACCCAACACATCACCAACATGTTAACCTTAAAATCACAGCAAGCTTTGTTTAAAATTAAAGTCTATAGTACAAAAAGAAAATCCTAAACAGATACTTTTTAATTTTTCTTTTGCCACAATGATGGATTTGTTTTCATAAAACAACTATATTTACCTTTCTAATTGCCGGCAAGTGAAACATCTTGGGCAAGAAAAGGGATTAAGTGGCCCTGAATAAAGCATTAAAAGCATTACAACTTTACATCAAGGTGGGATTATGATTTTCCAAGGCAGATCTCTGGAGAATGTCAAATAATTAGACGGTAGAAAAGGCAACACAGATTTTAGACAAATTATGCACTTACTTACTTCCTGGCCTGCAAACTTACACACACAATCAAGCTTTCATACTAGACCCTAGAGGAGCCTTGCACACCTGGGGTCTAGCCTTTTAGACAGTGAAATCCCTTTTCTTGATTTCTTTTCTTTAAAAAAATAGAGTATTTCCTGCTTGCCTGCCCTGCAGTACAGATATATTGATTGAATCAAAGTAGCAGGTTGCTCAGGGGATATTTACCCTCTCTCCCTCCTGGCTCTCTGCGGCAGAAACAGGCACTCTACAAGTGTTCAACAAAGGTTTTAATTATTCGGCTGATGAACTCGTGAGAAGAAAATATTCTGGCTTTCACCTTATATCTTTAGATGTAACGTATCAGACATAAAGCAGGCTTTGAATGAACCTCAGTATTATGCTTGTTTGATGTCCACGGCTCCATGGATATAAAGTTTTTAATAATTTATGGATTTGGGCATCACCTGGCTGACCCTGCAGTCATGCACATAATCACATTCACTGTATGTTGTGCTGTTGGGTATTGGTGTACTTGTAGTTGATGACCTTTTATTGTAGAAAAGTCCACAAGCCGAATCAACATGTGATACCAGCCCCTTGAGCATCCAGCATATAAACAGTCATACCAACACGTCTCTTCATGAGTTTGACGTTACAAATATCATTTGTTTGTTCATTTTATATTAACTTTTATAATATCTGTGAGAACATTATCTTCAAATTCCGCAATTGAAAGTTGGTAAGTCTGACCAGCTGGCATGCAGCTTCACGTTTAATTTGACTTTGCTATAACTGACAGTTGGAAATGTGTAACAAACAGGAAAGTTAGGAGTCTAATTTCACTGCATAGACATGAACGCTCACAGTTTGGCTTATTTTATGCGCTCTCCAGATGGGTCAGAATACTTGTAGAGCTCTGGAGAGTCCTCTTACCCTCTGTTTGTACGTGACAGAGAAGACAATCAAGAAAGAGGATGTGTTTGCAAGGAGGAGAGTGTGCCTCTGGGTGTGTTTTACAGGACAGAGCGAGGCACAGGGACAGCATATGTGTATGAGTTTGTGTGGGCAGTCATGTGTTATGCACCCAGTCTGACTGGTACCATCTGTCCTTTATCACGGGTTTGTCTGGTACTGCCCTTTCCTCTTTGGACTCTTTAAATCCTCCTTTTCATCTTTCTCTGCATCCATTTTTTTTCTCACCTTCCACCCCCTCTCCTCCTTTTAATGCAGCTGTATTTCTGACTGAAGCTGCACTGTTTCCACATTAGTCATTCTGTAAGCATCAGGAGAAAGGAGAGGTTATTTGTAACTTCTGCTTAAATATTTACTTGTGCATGGCCAATTGCAACGTCGTTCTGGGTCTGCTGTTGTGGAGTAGTGAGCTCTCATAATGAATGAAAAACAAAGCAGGCTAAAGGCCACCAGTCAAGGATGTGACAGAGGGGAAAGGATGATGTTTGTGTCACTTGGATATCAAAATTTGAGTCTGACAGGAAAGGGAGGACAGGAGAAAAGGCTGGGAAGGGGACTAAAAATGAAGATGGCGGGGAAAAGAGAGGATGAAGATGAAAAACCCTGTAGTTCATACCAACTCCCAGCTTGGCCTCATATCTCCTGTTACCATGGTGATTCAACTGCTGAAAGGCTGTCCCCGGAGACTAAAAACACAGAGGAAGAAAGCCAAAGAGAGACAGTAACACAAGGACAGGCAGAAGGGTAAAATAACAGCACAGGTGTGCCAGACAAGGACTGCACTGCAATGAAAGAACAGCATACCCTCTTTGCCACTCTGTAAACTTTGATGCTTCCAGCCAGGCTGGAGTCTTCAGAAAGTGTTAAAATAGTAGTGCCTCACCTAAAAAAAGTCATTAAATGCCAAGGTTGTGTCAGCAAATGTTTCTGTAGAAGACAAAATGTTGGGTCCTGCCTCTCTTCACATCCATGGAGATTCATTGTATCACAGTTGTAGGTCATTGTGGGTCCTGTAAACCCGGTACCATTTTTCTACCCAGTTTAACCCCTGAGTTAAGAAAAATAGAAATAGCTACAGTTAGACATACCCTTGTTTTATCAGCCTTCTGGCATCATACACTTAACTCAGTCTATTCACTACAACTTGCAGACCAATGTGGGTCCCAACATTGGATACGTAACCTGGACCCAGCCAGTGTTGTCCCAAGTTTTGGTGGAATTCCACTGTTGGTTTTCCCAGATGAGTTGATGGAAGGCCAAAGCTGGGCTCCAAACGCTGCCCATTGGGTAGAATGTAACCCACTGGGGACCTGTCCATTATTTCCGGGTTAAATCTCTTAAAACCTTCTTTCAAGACAGTAAATTGCTTGCAGTTGAAATCATGTGACACCAACCACAGCCCAGGCTGAGCCAACGTCCACCTAAGCAGGTTAAGCCTATACATGTCCCACTTGGATTCGTTGGCTTGGTCAGGTCAATTATATAGATAAAAGTGTGGACTAAGATTTTAAAACAGATTGAATAGTTGACTAAAATCTGTGTCTGCTGCATGTGGAATACATGGCGTGGAAGTGTGTGGTTGAATGGCCTGTATCTCGCCCTAAAAAGTCGAGTCTTTGTTATTGGCGTATAAGAAATCATGAATACATGAGACAAAGATTATGTTGAATCTATGTCAACTTCAAGTAGAGGGTTACTGCGTATTTTTCAATGAAAGCATTAGAAAACAGATGAGTACGGAATTCATCTTTCTAGGCTTACAGTGGTGTATAAGCTGAGCTGCCTGTATAAACAACCCTCTCAAGTATTTCCACAAATTTTCAGTCATAATTAAAGTGGTTGTTATATGCATGCTACTCACGCACAAAGGCCTGCAGTACACACATGCACAAACATAACCTATGGACATGTGTTAATGGAAAGATGTCAGATTGAGAAGGGGCGCCCCTGAGCTGTTGGGGGCTCAAGGTCACCTCGGCACTACTCAGGCAGACAACTGGCGCCTCTCCAGCAACCAGACACATTTCCATACTGTGGTCCGTATTTGGACTTGATCCGGCGACCCTCAGTCCCTACAGACTGAGCTACTGCCGCACTCATTTTCCACCATAAAACAGTAATATGCATAATTAATGCATCTGAAAATATGTGACATTAATTATTATCTCAATGTACTCAGCCATATTACTAACTGTCCATAACTAATGTCACATAACTATACCACTGAACTGACCAGTGACATTAAAACTAAATGCTCTCTCTCCCTCTCTTTGCCTCTCTCTCTCTGTGTCTCTCTCTTTCTCTCTCACTCTCATTCACTCTTTTTCTGCTCTCTCTCCCTCTCTCTCTCTCTCTCTCTCTCTCCACAGCTGTATCATTCATGAGACACAGCGCATCAGCCTTTGGATTTGCCGTGAGTCCCACCTCCATTTCCTACTCCTCCCACCCATTATTTCCATTGATCAATTAGTCATAAATGCAGGCTCTGTGATTTATTAATGAATCCTGGTCCAAAAGTGTCATTGGTCCCTTTGTCTCCAAGGTAACAAGTCAAGAACAGAGACTGGCCATAGAGCAAAAGGTGTAATATCTCAATACCTCTGTGTTTCCTAAATATATCATCTGGTTCCACCCAAATAAAGCTTCCTATCTCTACTTATTATTTAGAAGAAATGACTTAGAGTGTGATTAGTTTAAAAAAAAAAAAAAAAAACAGACTTCTAAAAGTGAAGTGAATATGAAGGTATCCATAACCCCAGAGAGGGAAGCTTGATTAACATAATTTGATTAAAAATGTTATAAACTATAATCTGCAGTGCTAGCTATCTTTTTTAGTAGAGATTGTATTTTAATTAGCAAGTGCTCTGCTGTCTATGGAAGTTTTATTAAAGCTTCAATGAGACTATGAAATGATATAACCCAGCACAAAGGGGACAGATCTCAACAACTGATCCCCCCCCAACCCATAGTGTTAGAAGCTATTAGGATGAAAGCTGGCATTTTATTTTAGATTTACAGGTACTCTTTAAAACTCCTGTCACAGTTCACCATGTAGCTTCAGGGGTCAAACGACTTTCTCAAGTCTTTTCTGAGACAGGAAAAACTGAGAAATATAGCAAAAAGTCATTTGTTATATTGATAAGAATGTCTGTCTGCCACACCTGGCGCAATATAGAGGTAGATATAAACAGCCTCTCGATCTTCAAGCAGCCCCTGTATGATTTGTAGTTTAGCATTACGTGGAGATTTAAAGGTGCCAGATGAGATCTGAACTTTCTTCAGTATTTTATGTAGCTGTTCCTATATTCTTACCTGCAATTAGTTACATCTGTATTTGACACAATATTTGAATTTGAGTTTGTCTTGACTGTTCTGATCAAATTAGAGTGGGTCCAGATAAACTTGTTGTTTTCAGATATAAAAGACATAAATGAAAGCTTGAATTGCTTGTAATGAGTAAAAATAATTTTCCAATGCAGCAAACTAATTATAAGTTATGAGTGTCTTGGAATGAGATTAGTTGACTAATTTAGGTAGTTGTTTTGGCTTACAATATTTGTAATGAGATTATTATTTTTTGACTTGACATTAGACAAATACACTATCTAAAATTTGACTTTTTGCAGTTCAATACCAAAGAAATGATTGTGATACTTGCAACATAAAGGTTTGTAAGAGAATGGTTGTGCATGTCGTTTTTAAGCATTAGAATAGCACTAAGATGGAAACATGTAACACATTGTATCATATGCAATTGATTTTGAAGTACAAGGTTCAAAATATCATATGGTTTATGAAGCTGCTTTTTGAAAAATATTTCCTCTTTGTGTTAATCGGTGCTGCAGCTAAGGTTAAAAAAAAAAGTCTGATTTATTAAGTCCTTGTAACGATACACCCTCTCATGTCTGTTTCTGTTGTAGTTTGATGCCACGCTGGACGTTGTATCATCATTCATTGTCATCTGGCGCTACAGCAATGCAGCAGCTGTGCACTCTGCACACAGAGAGTATATGTGAGTATGGAAAAACATCCTGCTGAGTTTAATTAATGTGTGATTAATGATGCCGTGTGACGCAGCTTGGAGATACTTTTCTCCTTTTGCACCAAAGTCAGACAGTTACCCGCTGACTTTTTTTTTTTAATGATTCAAAAGATTCAGCATCTGAGTCTAGTTTTGCATATTGTCTGAGATATTGGTGATTCATATAAATGATGGCATTAATAATTTTAGACAGTAATTAAATGCCTGGTTTCACAAATGAAAGAATGTGCCACAACAAATGGTGATTAAAGTTTTATTGATGTGATGAAAGCATTTAGTGGATAATGATGAATAGATTTAGGTGGGAGAATGATTGAATAATAGAGTCAAAGAGGTAATTTCTCCTGGCCTGTTTAGACTTATAAGACTTAGCAAAAGAAAGTGGAAACTTAGCGCACAGTTGTCTCTCAGGTGTTCCTAGCCTAGATGCAACCAGGAGAAGAGATGGAAAAAAAAGACAGTTAGATGACAAAAATAAATTCTTTGGAGGGTTTTGCTCCTCCTGGAGCTCTCCACAAAAGCTCCTGTGTCCCCCTGGGTTAACGTATCCAAGTCTGTGAACTCTATTAGTGGTATGAAACCCATCTTTGCAAAGCTATTTCTATATCTCATGTTTTGATGATGGTGGTAAGTTCTTGTTTATGATCTCTCATACTGTAGGATTCAAATGAGATGTGGGGACTGAAATAGATAGGGTGGGAAAAAAAAAATGTTGTGCTTGCAAGGTTGAGATATTGTTTTTCTGTATCTACTTGCCCACACTCCATGTTTTATTGTCCCAGTTATGGTGAAAAAAGAAAAAAATATGCTGAAAGAATACAGCCAAATCATTGGTTCTGAGGATGTGAAGCCCTGTATTAAAAGGCCCTTAGTTATGTTGAGCATGCAGCTTGAAATATCTGATTCTTTTATGTCTTTATTAGAAGGTGGGAAGGAGGCAAATAATTACATGAACTGAACAATGTGACTCATGTGCAGGGGCGTGTGCAAACGTTTTTGACTGGGGTGGCCCAACTGTGACACTAACTTACACAGGGGTGGCCTGAAGTGTGATGTGTACACAAACAAAAAACAATAAATATGAACCATTAACCCTTTCTAACCTCACCAATGACATGTACTTCATAACCCAATAAAATGGCGAGATGAGCCTAACTTTTTAATGACACTAAAAGAAGATGTATGTTTGTAGATGTATGTCTTAAAAATATCCTAATAGTTGGTTTTAACGTGAGTCCTGCCTCTGACGGGGATAATAGCCAATCAGTTCAGAAGTGTTGGAGTGGCACCTGGGGTGGCCAATCCCATTTCTAGGATGACCCTGCTCTGTGTCTGTGCATATCTGCTAATAACAAGCCTGTTAGCACACCAGTTTTAGAACAGCTGTAGATCAGCTGGAAACGTTAGGTGGCTGTCAGGTTACTCAGAGTCTTTATTAAAAGCACCTATGCTTAGCTCAGGAGTGTCACATATGATAGAGTTAAGTTGATACTTAAGCATCTGTTTATAGACACACAAATACACACAAAGATTGAATGTTTATAAATTGTTTTTCCTCACCTTGTGTAGTGAAATCCATTACAGGGAAGCAACACTCATGACCATGTATACACACACATACACAATCTTTACAACAACAAAAATGTCTACACACTGAAGCCACAAGTGAGACCATGTGTTTCAGAGTCATAGATTTACTGGAAGTTTTGCAGTTTTGGGTGGGGTTATTTTTTCTGGTTCATGCCAAACTTTTGGCCCACCCCTCATAGGATTCCAGATATGGCTTGAGTAATACTATAATGCTGGAAAAAAAGGACCACAATGAGACTTTGGGGCGACAGAATGTCTCACTGACAGAATAGACACAGGAGAATAAGAGACACAGAAATAGGATGCATACATAAGGACTGTCTGGGATGGAGATTTAGGAACCTTAAATAGGTTCCAAAGCTTTATTCAGCTATTTTTGATTTGGCAATAGCTGCTTGTCAGTTGGCACTTGACAGTTTTGTCAATTCATGCATGCTTAGTATATTTTATTTCCATTGTATAGCCAAAACTTGATTTAGAAAGCCAAGATCCTGACACTGAGGGCTTTCCAAGTGTTTCTTCGAGAAAACCTTTCCTTAAAATTGTGCAGATCTTGAAAGTTATTTTTCTCTCTCACCAAGTTATTATTGTTTCATTGAGACCAACTACCATCAGTAGAGGAACTTAAATGAGCCGACCAGAGTTCGGTCTACCTCAGAATACAAACTGACATCCACCTTGTAAATAGCAACGTGCCAGCCTGCATCTGGCTCTTAAAGGGAATGAGAGCTGACACTCTGATTGGGTTCATCATGTTATGTACAAAACACACCTACAGTATGTATAATCAAGCTACATATAATCCACCCTGTTTCACATTTTGCGTCTGGCTCTGCAAGCAGATTTTGCTTCATGTAAATACCAAAATATATTCTGAGACAAATTGCCTTGTGCTTTAGACAATGCGCTTTACGCTGTCAGAATATCACCCACTGTCTCTCTGTTCTGGAGTGAGATAGAGGGGATGCACATATTGTAATTCAGGCTCATGTAGTAGATTTGTCTGAAGAAATAAATGATCCAGCTATATTGAAGTGATGATTCTAGCTTGTTGTAATGCTGCAAAATGATGAAGTGTGCATGAGCAACCTGTATCCCAGACAGATGCAAACCTTAATTTTGTTATCACTAAAACTTTTTTCATACATGATAAACCTTCACAATACTGCATGTTGGCCAAATCAGTACATATTAATAGTATAATAAGCAGCTTTGAAAACAGCCAGAGACTAAATACAGGGGCAATCAAACACAAGTGAGACTAACGAGACACAGGTGAGGATAATAAGGACAATGAAGAAGGAAGTGAACCAGACGAGAGGAAGTAACCCTCGACCAGAAACACTGAAAGGCAAAAACTACAATATAAAACAAGAAACACTAAAGACTAAACTCAAGAGCAAGAACATATGAACAGGAAAATACACCCAGGAATTAGAGAGACACAATGATAAGAAATGACAAAATAAAACAAGAAACAACAAAAAAAACTAGGAATAAACAGTTAAAGCAAGAGTAAATCATGACAATATATATTTTTTTCAAAGTTCTGTTAATTTGGTTGTGATTAAAGCCAATGGGTTAAAGTTGTTAACAGCTGAATATCTTTTGATTTTCTGATAAAATGTTCCTTTAACATTTCAAAGATATAAATAAAAGTTTTTAAAACTGCCGACAGCTACTTTAGACCATCTTGTTTGGAATACTTTGACATTTTTTTAATTTATCCTGTGCTGCAGAAGGGACATTTTAAATGACCCTGATTCAATGAAACAAGAACTGGAAGAAAGTGTTGAGTTTTCCAAAACTTCCCTGTGTCAGAATTGGCAAAGTGGTCACACTCACTGCAGCTAACTAATACCGCTCTGTGTTTGTTTGTGTTTCTGCAGAGCATGTGTCGTTCTAGGAGTTTTGTTCGTCCTCTCCTCCCTGTGCATCCTGGGAAAGGCCATCCATAACTTGGCAACGAGGATGCCACCAGAAGTGGTAAGACTACACACAGACAAACAACACAGCACTCTTCATGGGAATTCTATTAATGATCTTAAACATTATTAATGCCTTATGCTTAAAAATGTGCAAACACAAGACCTCTGTGGAACTAAAGACTGATCACAAGATACATATGTTGAATTGCTGATTTCCATCAAGCTTTAGAACGGCTGCATCTACAAATCCAATTATGGAACTCAGTTGAGCCTCTCATTTGATCATCTCCTCCTCTACTTCAAACTCAAAATCTTTTAATATACCATTTTTCAGAAGCTTCTCCAAAGGCAAAGCTTCTAAGAAATACATCATTCATGCTGTGAAGTGAATCTTATAAGTCATTCCTTGTGTTTGTAAAATCTGTAGACTGACTCTATAAAGTGTTAATGTATGAACATGTGTGTCCACATATAAAACAGAAGGTATAGAGTGATGTGAAGACTGGCATCGACGGAATTCTCACCAAACCAGCAACTTCTGCCAGAGTTTTGAAGAATAGGTGTGTTGTATGCTATTGCAGTGGTTCCCAAAGTGAGGAGATAACTTCCAAAAAAAAAACAAATGAGCTACACAGTGGTGCAGTGGTTAGCGCTGTTGCCTCACAGTGAGGAGGTTCCTGGTTTGAATCCTGGTCTCTGTGTAGAGAGTGCATGTTCTCCCCGTGCATGTGTGGGTTCTCGCCGGCTTCCTCCCACACTCCAAAGACATGCTCGGGTCAATTGGTGACTCTTGATTTGCCGTAGGTGTGGCTGATTGTCTGTCTTAATATGTCAGCCCTGTGATTGACTGGTGAACTGTGCAGGGTGTAACCCGCTTCTCGCTTAATGACAGCCCCCGCAACCCTGAACAGGAAAAGCGGTATAGATAATGGATTGATTGATGGTATACCCATTATAGTACAAATAGATACAAAAAGTATTAGTTTTGTGTTGTCCTTTTGTGTTACCAGTCTTTGGATCAGCCTGTTAGTGTGTGCTATGTTGTACACCTAAACCACTTCAAGGAACAGTTAAGGTCCTTAGTCACTCTTATTTTGGCGGTCGCAAGCTGAAAAGTTTGTGCTGTAGGACAAAACTATCTCAAAACAATTAAATATAATACTTTTATTCTTCTGACACGATTGCGTTTTCTCAACCATGATGCTTGCCCCTGACAGACTTTAGAATTGCCACTGGCAATGGGTAGGGGAAACCTGGGTTAGGGTTAGGGTAAACCTGGGTTAGGGTTAGGGTAAACCTGGGTTAGGGTTAGGGTAAACCTGGGTTTAAGTATTTGTCTGTCAGTTCGGATTCTGCTAAATACATTTGCTTATTTATATTTAAATGAAGTTCAAAATCTATTTTAGTTTACCAATGCAACACAGTGCAGCTGTTAAAAAATCACATTGAGTTTGGGCTTCATATTTTGATAAAATACTCTCAGTAGCTGCTGCAAGTCCCCCAACAATATGAACAATGTGTTTCTCTTTAAAAACAGGTGCATGTGTGCATGTAGCAGTCTAGATCACACTACATCCTTAAAACCTTGCACACATGTTCACACAATAACACCACAGGCCACAAACACAATCAAATGACAATTTCTAGGTGACTGGAGCCCCACATACAGGCTCAAATAGGATGAATAGAAACACATATAATACATGTACACAGAGAGCGATGCACAAATACACACACACACACACACACACACACACACACACACACACACACACACACACACACACACACACACACACACACACACACACACACACACACACACACACCATTCATGTTGGTGAGGAGGTATCTTTTTTTAGCCCTCTGCTGTGGCTCTTTTGACGTCAGAGTTTTCCTCTCCCTGCACCTGACTTTTGTTTCTTTTTTCCCTCTTTGACACAGACACGCACACACACTTTCTTTTTAATGTCAACATCACCCTCCCCTCTGTATGTCTCTCTGGAGGTGTTAAGACTATGAATAAGGTCCCAAAATACTCCCGTCTCTTTGTTGCTGAGGTACGTCCCAGCTCTGCTATCGTCACAGTGTTTGGGGCGTGTCCACGGCATCCTTTCCAGTCCTGTGATTTGAATCATCCCATTTGATTTATAAATGATTTAACCTCCAACATCTGTCCATTTTAATAACGAGAGAGAACAGCCAGATTTGTATTCTCCACAAAAAAACAACAAACAAAAAAACAATTAGTCCAATTTTAAGTTTCCATCAGTGTAGTTTCGAAGTATTAAGTTCTCTGAAGCAGGATTTGGTTACAGGCAAGGATTGAGCATATCTCTGCATTTGACTGTTGATGTTTTCATGCTCGGCTCAGTTTATTTTTGAGTTTCAGAACAGCAGTGAGCTGAGAGGAAATTTTGAGACTGTCGGGCTTTTTAACAACATCAGGGAGGATCTTAAAAGCACCCTGTGGAGTTTTCCTATAAACAGACAAAAATGTGTTGTCTGTACTCTGGAGGCCTTACAAAAAATGTTGAATATATTTTCTTCCCATTATAAATGAACAATTTGTGAATTTATTTTAATACGTTCAGACCGGCTAGCAGTCTTCTTGTTCCTTGGCTTTGCATGGATACCTTCCTTTCTTGGCTTATACCAATGATTGATGGAAGAGGGTTAAAATCCTCAATCAGAATGATGTACTTTAATGCGGATTGTGTGCCTACTTGTTGGTGTCCATCTGGATACAAACAACACACACAGTGATATAACATTTGTCCATAGTACCTCTGGTGGTCATTACTCCATAGGATGCATTTACAGAAGAAGAAAAATCTGCAAGTAAAGTGGCAAAAGTAGCGCATAACATTTTTACCTGCTCATTTGTGCTCCAGTTTTTTACTTTTTTAAAAAAGTACTTTACATTGAGTTGGTTTATAGTCATAGCTTTCTGTTTCATGAACTATTCAATGAGGATGTAGGCCTTGACATTTATAATCATTAATACTTGTTGTTAGATATGAACCCAGAAGTGGATACAGATTCAATGTGAAGGTTTGAAGTAGATGTTTTTCAGGGCAGAGGTCTGGCAGGAGGCTGACTGATTGGCTGGCTGGTTTGGTCTGAGTGAATGAGTCTGATTGACTTTTGACACTGATGTTCTGTTGTTTGACTTAGTGATCTTCAGAGTTGAGCTGTTTGCAGGTGAAGTCAAACACTGGCAAAACACAATGAAATAAACTCTGACAAAACTGCACAGAGCAGCTGATAAACACTGCCACTGAGTAGACACAGGCAGAGGATGGAGCAGAAACCAGGATTCTTAGACTGAGCAGATGAGTTGATGAGTAGCAGGTGTGTGATCCAGCGGGGTGGGCTGCCCACTGCATGGGTGGGTGGTGGGGGGGGGGGGGGTTCTGTGACTTGCTCAAGGGCAGTGAAGGGGCACCTCTCCAGCTACCAGACAACTTTCCAGACTTCGTCCACATCTGGATTTGACCCTGTAACCCTCCAGTTCCCAGCCCAAGTCCCTACAGACTGAGCTAACGCCGCCCCATTAAACACACATACACAGCATAGCTCAGCAGAACATTTTAACAAAGTGAGGAACAAGGGATTAGCGTAGGTGAAGGTAAAGTGAAGATAAAACAGAAAAACAGTGTGTTGGCTTTTTTGTGAATATAATGAGTGAAGGATGCAGACGAACCAAGTGTGTGTCTTCATCATTTTTAAGTGCATCTTCTATAGTGTGAAACATGACTCACTAAAGCCCCCTTGACCACAAATCAAATGAGATTAAGTCAAGAGACTGAAGCTGAAGCAGGTTTGAAGGCAGCAGCAGCCACTCTGCAGACTGTGTTTGATGCTCCAGTGCCATTATGTTCATGGAAACTCTGGATGTTAGGTCTCAGAGGAGCTTCCTGACACCAGCAAGAGCTTATTACCACTGCCTGTCTCTTTTGACATTCTCCCTCTTCTCTTCCCGTCTTATTCCCTCCTTTTCCTTTCAGTCTGATCTCCAACATCCACTGCCTCACCTGGTTTCTGCTTCTCTTTCATTTTGAATAAAGTTATTGGTTTCCCTGCAAAGAATTGTACATACAACCAAACCCGGGTCTATCTGTTTCACCTTCAAAACTTTTGAGCAGCACTTTGTATGTATTTGTCCTCTGATCAATTGTTGTGTAAGAACATGCAAATAAAGATTATGTACTGTCATATGCTGGATTATTTTTGGCAACATCTGATTGATTAGTTTGCTTAAGAGTGATCTGAAGCATCTGGCTCTGTCTTTTTATGTAAAATATTGTCACTGACTGCTAGGCTTGGCTGAAATTGTATATTCAGCACGATAAAGGATAGTTACATATATTTTTTTATCCAATTTCTGCCTATTTTCTCCCTCTTTAACCTTTCTTCTCTTTTTTTCTGTCCCATCTACCCATATCCTATCCTAATTTCCCTCCTCTCTCATCATTATCCCTGTCTCTTTCTGTAACCTCTCCCTAAAAGCGCACCTGTCTGCCTCCATTACAATGACTGTGTTCTCTGCTTTGCTGCTTTCAGACTCTCATATTTGTCATTCATAGCATCTCTCTCTCTCTCTCTGTGTATCCACCTTTTGGCTCTTTTGGCAGAAACAAGCTCTTTCACTCAGGTCTTCATCAAACAGCAGTCAGAGGTGATTTATCATACCAGCAATGATCTGTTTATGTGCTCTCTTTTTATATGTTTGCAGAACAGCATGTGTGGCTGAAAGAGGCAGGAATGAATAATGAAAACTGAACTTTTTAGAGGAGGGGAGGTAGAATCTGCCGTTTGAATTGGATGTTTGAAGGTGTTATCGACTCTACTTTGGAAAGATTTCCTGTCCTGATGTAAATTGAACAGAAGCAACACAGCATCAATACTGTAAAGTGTTGTTACCTTGGGGAACACGGCTGTAAAATCCCATCAAGTGGACAGAGAGATGAAGGAAATCAGGTATCCTGATTCCCATCACGTCCTGGGTTGCTGCTCTCATGGCAGGCTGTCTGTGTCAAGTGCCTGATTAAACATAGAGTCTTGAGATTGCCACTACCTGCCTCTATGCTGGGTGCAGAGAGGATAACAAACTTACATGCATAAACTGCAACAGCAACCTCTGTAACATAAAGAGTATAACATTAAAGGAAAGAGCATTTTAAAGCAGGCTTGGAGTTATGGATGGGCCTTAAGGGCCTGGGCCCGCCCACTTGTGTTGTTGGCCCGCCCTTATGACTGGGTGAAGATATTATACACTTACTTATATGTTTATAGATTCCAATTGATATTTGAATCCATTTCACACCAAAATAGTTTCCCCCTTAAAAAATGTAAAGAAATTATAATTTTCCTGCTGTCATAGTGTGAGGTCTTGACCAATCAAATCAGGCCATTTTATGCTAACCAGGCTTGTAAAAGTAACACAGGCAAGGGCCGGGGCACTCTTTATCATTACTTTTGTATTGAGCACTGAGGGCAGCATGTCAATTAATATGTGAGTAGTTGACAAACAAAAGGATGTCACTATTTCTTAAATGTTTCATAGAAACATCATGAGCAAGTTCTTTTACATTTGAGAAAAACTGTTTCAACCTCATTTATTATCTGGCCCAGCCAAATTTTCGGGGGCATATCCAAAATTGGATTCCTGGCGAAAAATTAAGATTCAAATTTCAAGTGTCCTTTATTGTCAGTCTGACTCTCTACCAGACAGGTAAACAGTAGAACAAAATTCTGTCGCATCATGCTCAAGATGCTCAACAAATAAAAAAATATCTATTTCTGTATGTAAAAAAAGGGATCAATAGAAAAAATGAATAATTCTGTAAAAGGTAAAAAGTGTATGTACACACAGAGAGAACAGTGAGTGTGATATATACTTACTGTATGTACATGAGGGAAAAACTTAAAGGTGCATTGCAGACAGTAACTATCAGTAAAAAGCAGTGAGGTACATGTATGAAAACACTGCAATTATTTGTATTTAATATTTAAACCTGAGATACTAAAGCCAGGCAGCAGTCATCCATGAGGGGGAATGTTATCATGATAAATTAAATACAGTAAGCTAGTTGATTTTGTGCAGCTCTGTAGCTGTGCGTGATGGAAAAGAAACATCATAAGTGACATAAATCTTATTTAGCTGCAAACTCAACAGCAACTATTTGCATTTCTTATTTTGTGTGCCTTTTTGCCTTTATTGGATAGTATAGCTGAAGAGAGACAGGAAATGTTGGGTGGAGAGAGTGGGGGATGAAATGCATTAAATGGCCGAGGTCGGATTTGAACCCACAGCTGCTGTGATGAGGTCTATTGCCTCTACACATGGGGCGCGCAACTGCTAGGCTATCTGGCGCCCCAATCATTTGCATTTCTATTATGTTGGGATATCATGAATAAAAGCTAATGTGGTGCTTGTAATGTTAATGATGGTTAATTTGTCAAGTGTCCCAGTAAAAAACCTAGACTGTAGGAGCTTAGTGAATTCCAATCGATATCATTATTTATAACTTATTATTGTACTTGATGAGAAGGTCTTATTACTTTTGTTTGATTGAGTGGCTGTCCTCAGAAACCAACATCATTTGCACACCAAAAAACCTATGTCATAAGAAAGTCCTGACCGATATTTTAAGAAAAAGGGACTTGGGTTGGGAACTGGAGGGTTACAGGCTCAAATCCAGATGTGGACGAAGTCTGGAAAGTTGTCTGGTAGCTGGAGAGGTGCCCCTTCACTGCCTTTGAGCAAGTCACAGAACCCCCCCACCACCCACCCGTGCTCAGTATAAGAATCCTGGTTTCTGCTCCATCCTTTAAAAAAAAAAAAAAGGTGTTGTCTGAAAAAAAAAAAAGTTGAATTTCTCTCATTCTTATTGTACCAAGATTCTCTTGTTCTTTTCCCTTCCCCTGTTGGGTCCAATTAATTCAGAAAAAGAGACACTCTGGGGTCAAGTTCTATTTTTTGCTGAGTCTGTTTGAGACTGAATTTGAAAACACCAGACCTTGGCTTCACTTAGAGGTGTCATCTGTATGACCTTGGGTTGATGCACCAAGTCAAGCATGTCTGTATTATTAATGGTTGAGCTGACGAAATCTTTTTGGGTCATTCTGTCTGCCTGCTAATGCTCTTAGTGTCTGCTCTAAAGATAACGTGAAGCTTTTTTTTGCTTCTGTTTGTACTCTTTATCTTTCTCCTCTTTAAATAGTTTATGCACATGTTTTACCACAATTTATGACACAAATGCACAAATGACTGGCTGTTTTTTTTGTTTCTTTAATTTTGTCTTCCCTGTTTGTTTGCTTTTCTAGGATGACTTCCTGTACAGTGTGTCTATAGTGAGCGGGTTCACGTGTTCGCTGCTGGCTGTAGTCAAGTTCTGGCTAGGGAGAGTGCTAACTAGCCGTGCACTCATCACTGACGGTAGAGTACACACACACACACACACACACACACACACACACACACACACACACACACACACACACACACACACACACACACACTTGAATTATCTTGATAACATTGAAGTTCTGCAAAAAGTGGCACAATGTATTCTGATTCTTTACTTAATTGGAACTAGCAACACCACTATGTATGACCATCGTCAAATGTACCTAAAGTATTAAAAGTAAAATATTTTTATACATAAGCAGTACATTTTTAAGCAAAACAGCACTGAGGACATTGAAGCAGTCAGTGGTTTAGCCAGTCTAGAGAGCAATTTTTACTTTTTTATCTACTGTTTGTTGGACAATTTACTGTAACAATAAATCACATTTAAGTGTGCGTTATTCTGCACGTTATTAGAAGCTATTAATCATTAAATGTTGTAAAGTAGGAGAATACAGAAGCATAAAACATAAATACACTGATACTGAATTAAGTATACAATTTATGAAATCAAGAAGGAAACAAAAACACAGCATCGTCACTAAAACCCCAAAACATTGTTTGTATATTTGTTTCTGTGTGGGATTAAGTTGCTCTCTCAACTGAACAGAGATAACTAATAGGTTATGACCCCACTGGTTGGCCATAGACACAGGCACATGTGCACGCGCACACACACACACACACACACACACACACACACACACACACACACACACACACACACACACACACACACACACACACACACACACACACACACACACACACACACACTGCACACTGCTATTCCCAGGTCTCAGAACACACGGGGCATCAATCCAATAAACCTGAGGTTGCTGTTCTTGGAGCCTGGATTTATTTCCCACAAGACTATACACTTACTGCAGGCGGGCAAATAACCCAGTGTGCTGGCTTTCACACAAGGAGAATGTAATTATAAAATAACATCAGCAGCTACAGCATAGCTCATATACAGGAGGTGTAGTCAACACTTACTTTAGCTATAGCCATTCATGCTTAAAGGTTATATAAGACTTCTACACATGTTAATGTTTCTGGTCTGCCATCTATTAATGACATAAAAGTTCTAATCCATAATGTTGGGTTGTTTGTTTTTATTTTACAATTTGATACTACTCTTAGTCCACACAGCAAACATGAGCTGATACAGACAGTAGCCGATATGTTTAGTTTACCATGTAGATTGGAAACAAGGGGAAACAGCGTCACTGTTAACTGGCATCTTTGGATCAGCTTGCTTTGTGACCTCACCTTGACAAAAGAACTTAAGGGAGTTACTGCAGCCAGCTAAAAAGAAGTAGTCGCATGTTTCTCCAGGTGGAGTGCAATTTCTTAAGGATGCATATTTTAGTATGTTAGCTCAATGGTAAAACCTACCAGAAAATTATTATAACTTGTCAACAGAATTAGCTTCACACCTTGGTCATTTTACCACAATTCATAGGCCCATTTTCTTAACATCAGAATAACGGTCACTGTTTCCATCATCCTCTAGCCATCTTGATAGCGGAAGAAAAGTATCTCAAATGTGTTATGTGGCTATTTATTTATGCTCAACTTCATGCATTGGTCATATACGTTCTGCATAAATCTGTTGTAATTCAGTAGCAATAACTTAAATATGACATTTTCATATTTTTGTGTTTTTCAGGGTTTAACTCTCTTGTAGGAGCTATTATGGGATTTTCCATTCTGATCAGCGCTGAAGTCTTCAAGCATGATACTGACGTCTGGTTTCTGGATGGTACAATTGGAGTTCTTATCGGACTCACCATTTTGGCATATGGTGTCAAGTAAGAGATCATTTCTACTCATCCTTGAACTCATAATTTAAAATATTGTATCATACCTATCAAAGTTAATTAATGTCAGCTTGACAGATGCAGTTTCTTCACAGTGAGACCCTGTTTCTGTCTCCACAGACTCCTGAGAGATATGGTGCCCCGTGTGAGGCAGACAAGGAACTACGAACGTTTTGAGTGAGAGACTCAAAGCGGATTCACATCCACATCCACACCTGGCTGCCTCCTATATCTGCCCTCTTTCTCTCTGTCTTTCATGCACACTACAATACAAATTTCACCTGCACATGCAATACATGCCGATGTTCCCATGTGCTGTATATACTGTACATAGTACATGCATACATTCAGACAGTAACAAACACACTTGCAAGCAAGCACAAACACAAGACATTGGAAAGACTTTTAAGGGAAAAGAACATGATGGAGACCAACTTATGGAAAGAAAAGTATTTCACTTTTGTTCATGAATCCACACATTTAAAAGTTACACCCAAAGTAAGGAAAAAGACTGAGATACCTGTTAATCAATAGGAGATTTTTATGGGTTCATACAGGACATTAAGTATTCACTTTGTAGATTACAGTAACCCCATCATTCAGAACTAACCTGCTAGAGATTACAGTAAATTGTTGCGCTGTCATCAGGACAAGAGTAATGTGTATCAATATAAAATGTATCGATTGGTGAACATTTCACTCAAAGGTCACATATTATGTAAAATACACTTAAACATTTTTTTATAACACTAATATGTGTCCCTAGTCTGTCTACAAACCCTCCAGTTATGAAAAACATCCATCCTCTCAGTCTTTTACCTGCTCCACTTTCAGAAAATGTTTGCTCAAACAGGTTGTTTGGGGATTTTCCCTTAATGACATCACAAAGGGCATTAACCCCTCCCCCATGTGGGTGACACTCCCACAGCTGGGTGTTTGTTCTGCCCTCTGAGTCGGCCTTCTCACCGCAAACAATCGGACATGGTGCAAGAAAGCCCAAGCAACCCAACCCCTTCCAGAGAGATGGGATCAGACACAGCTCACTTGCATTTAAGGCTGTGGACACATAAACAGCCTGTTCTAAGCAGGGCTGAAATAGAGGGGTTTATAGGCATGATACAATACAGTATCAGAATGGATTTATAACAAGAAACTACACAGACATGTTTTGGGGAGCTATGAGACTTGTTTAATTTTTTTGAAAAGGAGGATCAAATGTGACCTTTAAATGAGACCTCCACACAAAATACAACATGATTTTTTACTAGCATTACATAGAAAAATATAAACGTTTCAATCTTTAAACATTGCTTTGGCTCTTAAGGTAATCATCTACTTTATTTCTCCAAATTGAAGCCTGCAACTAATTATTATTTTTTTTTTTGTTTTATCAGCACGTAAATGTATCTCTTCTGAAAACCTCACCAGCCTCCTCTTTACAAAGCAACCAATTTTATGGCAACTTGTAGAGAGAGAGAGAGAGATACAGAGAGAGAGAGAGAGAGAGAGAAAGAGAGAAAGAGAGAGGGAGAGGACCATAAAAGCAGTACTATGTCAATAAACACAGCGAGGTCAGTCTCGATATGGAAACTCTACAAACAAAAGGTAGCAGCAATATAGAGGTCAGGAGGCATTGAGGACTCACATTTGATATACAGTAGCTATAAAATAAAGTGCAGAGCTTACATTACATTGCATAGGCTACTTTATGTAATGTATCCAAGCACAAATTAGCAGACTTGTTGCTGACAGTTAAGCACAGGGCAGTTTTTTTTTTGACACGGCAAATATTTCACATGATTTGCAGGTATTAGGCCTCTCGTTAGTGTTGTATCTGCTTTTACATATGATTCATTGCCATATATTGTTGATATCTTTTGAAATGTTGACACATACACATCGTTTAGTCTGTTTTTTCTGATATCCATTCAGAATCTGTTGTTTTATACTTGAAACACTGTTTTACAAATGAAAGTTTAAGCAGAATATATAAATAGTGATCAAATGTAGTGCTGCATAAGGGCAGGATGGAGGAAAAAACATCAATATTTATTTTGTGTCTTTTTCGTTGCAACTTTTTAGGTTAATGTCATAATTTGATGTTTATAAAGTAAACTGTACAGGATGGCTTCCTGTGCAATTTGCTATTATCCTGTAATTAATAATTGTCAAATTTTTCTAAGTCTAGATCAGGTATTTATTATTCTTTATGAACACTGTTTTATTCAATTTTTCCTCATTATGACTGCAAAGCTTCCAAATTAAACATGAAACAAAGCACAATGACAGAGGAAACTGACGATAGGAAGTTCATCTCCACTGTATATCATTTGAAGTGATGTTTTATGCTGCCCATCTGCTTATCATCACCCATTTGTTCTGCATGTATCCAGTTGTTATCATTTACCATTACAGTATGTGCAATGAACAGATTGTAAATACGATCCACACAGTCTGTAAATATGTTTATTCAATGTTTGGGTAGTAACAAAAAGTCACAAATATAGTCATAGTACTTTATGGCCAACATAACAGGCTTTTTGGAGTAGACAGCTTATAGTTCAAGTATGGATGACCAATGTTGCATATACTTAAATATGTTTAATGTATAGTGATTATACTGTACATGTTGTTTTGCATATTACTGTAGATTATTGGTGAAATGAAATGACAAGTCTTACTGTAAGTTTTTTGCACTGTAAGTGAAACCCTCAGACTGGATGTAGGTGTCATCAGATGGCGCTGTCCAAGGCTGGTTTTATTGCTGGTTTGAATACCAGCAATAATACTGCTAAACAAATGAAGACTTCACATGTTGAAAACAAGAAAGAAAAACATATTGGGCACGATATATCTGTGAGCACCAATCTGATATTTTCAACAAATAAATCCCCTGTAAAAAGTCAATATCAGTTAAAAGTGTATTCTACAGTTTAAAATATCATTATTACTTCATCATGCTGTCAATCACCTGTTTTATTTGGCACTACTTTTCCCCTCTACATTCCTATGCGCACTGTATCATGTCAAAATGTTTTGGTCTTCCGCATAGATGACTCAAAAATGTAATGATTAACGACTTATTTTTGTGTCATTAATCAGGCTAGCGTCTCCAAACGTGGGCAGGGTTGACAGTTACAATATGTGTTGAAAAGTACCTCATCAAACCTCACTTCAAAAAGGCTGAAATGACCTTTTATGAGGCTTAAATTGTAACTCTAACCTAAAAATTAGCTGTTTGATTTGTGAAACTGAGCTAAGTTTATTGATTTAATTAACTTAAAATACCTTGATGTGAATAATTTGTAGAAGCACTTTTATACAAGAGATACTGAAGTTAAGCCAAAATGTTCACTGTCCACAGTGAGATGGACTGTGGATTCAGAATGCCTGAGAGCCCCCTTGTGGTGGAAGGAGGCTACATGACAGCCGTTTTAAAAAGCCTTCAGTGCCCTGGATCCACTGAGAGTCTAAATATAGCCCAGGCTTACAGACAGAAACAGAGCCTTGGATAGTGACTGAAGGGCCCTTACATCCTCTGCACACTGTAATTATCAACTCTGGGTCGACATACTGGACAAGTAGCAAAAATAATTGGTGTTATCTTTAGTTGCATTGTGTAAAGAATAAGGATTAGCTATTAATTGAAGGCGTGAATCAGCTCACACCACTTCAGCTCACCAACAGCACACTGATATGTAATGTTTCCCTAACCCCCCTTTCTCTGATGCATAGAAGACAATCTTTACAGTGACTTTTACTAGCAAAGCACAGTGTTTGAATGCGTGTTTAAACCACATAAGGCACAGAACAAACAATAATAACTCAGTCTCAGTAACGGTATGCTTTACTACATAGTTGCTTATGTTGTGTTTGGATAAACTGGGGAAAAGTTTGATCTTGGAAACAAAATCATTACTACCTCTTCAATGCACCTTGTTTTATCTTCACACCACTTTTTCTGTGCACATTTATGCTTTGAAGAACGACAATGCCAGGTGCTGTAATTGCTGCCCTGGTTCTCTTAAACTCCTTAGTAATAAGTTATCTTTGAAGCTGCTTCATTGCCTGTAAATCCCAGGTATGTGAAGCAGCTGAATTCCAAAATGTTAGTCAAAATTTCCCATTATTCGGTGATCACAAAAGTTTCAGTTCATTTGTATAGACTGTGATTTACGTTGTCTGATTACATTTTCCACTTTTCGCTACATCCATTGAAAACTTTAAGAGGTTTGTGGAAAAAAAGGACCTCTGAACATATTTAACTTTGCACAAACACAACACCTCTTTTCATCTTAGAGGTGTTATATTCTCTTTGTTACATTACATTTGAGTATACTGTTCATTTAACTAGGCCGGAAACATTTCTGCAGCTTCATAAAACTGTGCCAAAACATTGACAAACATTTATCCACTTTTATGGACATGTGTATCATCCAGTTGTATCTGTATTGAGTGAAAAATGACTTCTCATTCTTGCCCCAGAAGAGGCATCAAACCATTGCTCTTAATTTCAAGAATCATGATAGCAATACTAACCTCTTCTTGATTGCTATAAATTTTGCATGGACATAAGAAAACCCTAACAGCTTCAGTGCTTACAAATGCATTGCAGCCTGACACACACAAACATGCACACACAGACAAAACATACATACATGGTAAGACACAAGTGATTTCCAACAAATCTGACTGTGTAACAGATTGTTCATTTGTCTGTTTGTACAGTAATGACATCAGTGGTATTACAGATGGTGTAAACATCATTTATTTGTGTAAAAGAAAACTATCTCTCTTTGTCATAGAGCAAAGTTTTATTGATTAATAAAGTTTTATCCTGCTTCCTCATCAACCAAGTCCAGGCATGTTTTTTTTTTTTTTTTTCGTGTCATGGATGACTTTACCATCACTGAGGTAATACATAGAACCAGGACAAAGATATCTTCCATACTCATCTGTGGACAGTGTAGACAAAAAACAAATGTCTTTTTAGCAGCAATCTCATCAATACAAACTCCTAAGATGAAACTTAGGAAAAGTAAGCGCAAAACACAATTTGGGAAGAAGTGTAAAAAAAAAAAAAAAAACTGAATACGAAGCACAGTATCTAAAAGAAGTGTATGTTATTTGCACACGACCTCTGGCCTTAGTAAGCTGAGCTTAAAAAGAAAACTGTAAAATGTGTGTTGCCAGCAACATGGTGGTGAAAATACTACCTCCAGCCAAGTAATAATTAAGCACATACGTTCTCATGAAATCCAGAAATGGCAACTTAACACATCTCTCTGGATAGAAAATGTGATTGTATGAGGGACTCTAACATTTCTGATTGGTAGATTTGACTCCCTTTGGACAATCCATGCTAGTCGTTTCTTCCCTTGTTCACAATCATTGTGCTCAGATACTGGCAGTAGATACATAACAGACAGAGCCAAAAGAGTGGTATCAATTCACTCATCTTATTGGCAGGCAAAGAAGTTATCATGTACCCCAAGAACTGTGTCCATTGAGAACATTCCTTATAGAACAATCATCAGCAAGAATACACATCAATAACCTTCATGTGGAGGATTCACTGGAAAACAAAATGTTCATGTCGGATGAAGCCGAGCAGTTTTCACCTGAAAAGTCTGGATGATTTGTGTCTTAACATGAATGAAAAAGCTTTGAATCAGAGCAACCGCACATGCTAAAAGGTAATGGTATTGAATTAGCCATGACCCAACCTTTGTAAATGACGCTTGATATGTTTATATACACAGCATAATCTGGCACCTTCTCCCTTATAGGAAAATTTGTGCAGGAATTCCTTTGGTAACTTTAATAACAATCATGTGTACAGAAGACTGTGTTTCGAATGAAATTTGCATATCAGTGCACGAATGCTCTTATTTGAAGGGACTAGTAAAGACCAATACTTAAAAAAAGCCTGCTCGGATTCAATTTCAAATCTTTGCATCATCATCATCTCAAGCTTAAATTTGTCCTGTTATGTTAAGACAATGCATATTGAGTGCCCGTCAAGGCCATTACGGTGTCTTTGTCTATTGCTTTTCAAGGACAGTGAAACACCCAAGATTTTTCAGTAACCAATGACCACCAACTGGCTTAACTCTTTTGTCTAGATCGGAGGCTTCAATGGAGTTCACCCACATTGCATCACTTTTGCCCATCAACTCGTATACACCAAACATGACTGGTGTTTAACCTTGATTTGGGAAAAAACGTCACTATTTGTCTTCAGTCAAATACTTTTGGACACAATGTGCAATTGTCTGTAGAACTATCAGCCTTTCTAAAAGAAACTGGTCTTGCCTCCCAGGCAACATGTGATGTCGGTGTTAACATTTCAAGTCTCTTGGCTATATTCAAGATGCACTTTGAATGATCCACTACTGAGTCTGGACGCTCAGACAAAAGCCACATAAGTTATTGTCATCTCAATCTCATCACAAAAAAAAAGGCCAAGAATCAAGCCTGGAGACTTCCTGCTGTCAGCTTCTTGGATGGTCCATATACAAGAGAATCCTTTCCTTTGATTCCTGATTGTTTCTAAGGTGCATAGAGAGTTTATTGTTTTCCATCCAGCCATTACACACAAGCCCTGCATAAGGCTATCTGATCCTTGATGTAGTCTCTACAGGGGCAGATACGGATCAAAGACTTGTGTGATCTCACACAGCTGAAGAGCAGGGGATCAGACTGGAACACACAGTGTTTGCCACTGGCAGTGTTTGAGTAGGCTGGAAACACCAAACTTCTGTCAGACTGCTCCGATTCTTGACAATCGGCGCTGTAGCTGGAATTAAAAAAAAAGAATAAGAAACCAACAACTGCATAACATGTTAAAAAAAAAAACACGATATCACAAAACGCTGTTTTAATGGTGACAGGAGATATCAGTTCTACAATCCGACATAGTGGCTGCAAACTCAGTAATGTTGGACTGTTGCTCATCTTGAATTTCCCTCGGGATCAATAAAGTATCTGTCTATATATCTATCTATCATGATAAAGCTTGTTCATTTAAAAACTGGTGGTGTAAGTGAATCTCTAACCTGTTGCTGTGTGAGAATATTTTTTTGAAAAATCCCATCCTGTTATTTTCCTTTTACTGGAGAAAGACTATTTTATCGTGGCTATCACTTCATGTAAATGCAAAAAATGTGCACTTAATATGGGCATGCTTACTTGGAAAGGCTCTTGGCATTGTTGATGTGAGGGAAAAATGCAGGTTCACAGATGAGCCCTGCATCCTGACAAGCCTGTTTACATGAAGTGCCAAACTTTGCTTCCACAATCTTGAGCGCGCTGAGTGGAGGCCAGCTCCCTGGACCGTGGCAGAAATCCTGATGAAAAAACGAGATCTTCAATGAGATTGAGGACAAACCAAGAGTATTTTTCTATTTATAAATTGTGATCTTTTCCAACCAAACCTGTTTTTCAATCAGGATGTTGACCCTCTGGAGCATCCCTTCACAGGTAAACTCATATGGAAGGTAAGGCTCAATCTGGAATATGAGGCAAAAACTACAATCAGAGATGAAGAAACTATTTCTCTTCATTTATCAAGATTAGACCCATCTTTATATCATCTGAGCTTTAAAGGGAAAGGTAGATTTTACACCATATTTAGAGGAGTACTTACAGTCTGATTGAGGATGGCAGTGAGAGCTCTTTCCACATCTGTGGAGTTGTGCATGTCCACCAACCACACATAGGGCTCTCCTATGGCCTCGGCATAAGGATGCTGGGATGTCAACTGCAATATAAAACACAAGCAATGAAAATAAGTTACATTATAACTGCTTTTTGTCTATATCTTTCTTCAAACTATGCAGAACTTATTTTCATGTGCTAAGACAGAGACAGTGATTCTGTCTTTCAGGTTCAAAAACATGCAATGATTTACTGGTTCCAACATAATTCACTTGATTATCAGATCATGGTGAGTGCTCCTATTTTGAGTGTGACCGCTGACCTCTCTGATGTTGGGCTTTCCCTTGAAGAACTGGGAGTTCAGGCTGCTCTGTGGAGGGTGTAACCTGGGGTTCAGGAAAGCACAGCCATTGGCTAAGGCCTCCAATGCGGCGGGGCCTTCGTATGGGAAAGACAGTCCAACAAAAACCTACAACACACAATGAGCACACATGAAGATGTATATAGTTACCAAATGCACCTTTACTTGCTCACCACAAGGTGTCAGCCAACACCAGAACAAAGAATTATGTGGTCAGCTCTGCTCCGACAGTTTGAAGTAACAACAAATGTTGCGAGGCTTGTCATTAAAAACTTAGAGGAAATGTATTCTGTTTCAACTTTTACTGACAGACCACATTATGAAAGATGATCAATTCATAATGTTTGAAGCATAAACAGCTCCAAAACCTGCTTTACATTACTTTATTACCTAAACATCATGATTCTTTCTTGAGAATTGCTTGTGAATTTATTTTATTTTTTTACTGAGGATATGTTTTATAAGTTCTCATAAATAAAAATCAGTACTTTACAGTTCTACAGTTTAAGTTTAAAGAGTCTGTAAAGCAAACTTTTACACACCAGACAGACATTTCCAATAATGACAGTTTATTTACTCAGCATTACTTAATAAGGTAATCAATATGGATTATTGTTGATTTTACAAGATCCCGATTTTTTTTTGCCCCCATGTGAAACAGCATATCTTTGGCCCTTCAAGGAAGAAACATGAAGGAAACACCACAGTTAGGCTACTTCATATGATTGTGTAAATCCAACACAATTATGGAGCACATACATTTACTGGAACACCTCACAGCGAAATTAGATATTAATGAAACAGTAATGGAAAAATAATTAGTTCTATAATCACATCGCAATTTACACTGTGACGAAAGCTCCCCTGTCTACAAAGGCAGCATACATTATGCATCTCTATCCTATTCTTGTCATATTACAGTATGCTTTATCCATCAGAAGTTCTCTGAATCTCTCCAAAACTAATTACAAACCTATTTAAACCAGTCTTACTCAGGGATGTGCTCATCAAGAGAGAGACATTGATATTCTAAATGGTCACCCTGTACAGAACAGTCTGTGGTATATTGTGGGTTTTGTTGGTTCTGAAAGAGCTACAATTTCAATTATCCCTTTTCTAGTTTAGTTGGAGTGCTTAACCCTGGTGAAGGATCTCTTGTATAAAAGATGTTTTTAACAAGTGTGTATCCGCTTAAACCTCCACTCTGATTGAAAAGTTTTTTGCTGCTTAACACATCCTTTTTTTTTTTTTTACTGGTCTTCACCAGGGTTGAACAGTATTGATTTTTCATCTTTTGTTTTGTTTTAGTTGACTCAGGAAGTTTCAGGGCGGGGAGCTGGTGTGTTTCACCCAGCCAACGACAGCACTGGAGTTTAGGAGTCTAATTTATTTAGCGATTTGAAGTGATTCAAACCAGTTAAGATGCTGTTGTTTCGACAAAGAAGAGAAAATATAATCATAGTGAGGCAAAATGCCACTCAAATAAAGCTCGTTAAAAAACAAGGGTAAAGCTTAGGTAAGCTTGCAGATAAAGAGTTGGCCGGCTTTCTGTCAAACACCGGGGTTAGCTTATGTTAGCGTGCGGTAGTGTGCAGTGTAGGTACATGCAGTAAACGTACACAATAGTCCTGCAGTGCACCTCTAGGGGCGATGAGCCCAGGAGGAGGGGTCCAGTTTGAATGTTGTGTTTAAAAGCTGCAACAAACAATGCCAATTACTCTTGAAGCTGGGGAGGGGTGTCATTGCCTTGCTCAATGGTTCCTTCTCCAGTGGAACTGGCTCCTTCTCCAGTGACCTGACCAATTTCCATACTTGGTTCGCCGGACTTGAACCGGCGACCTCCCTGTCCCAAACCAAGTCCCTGCAGACTGAGCTACTGCTGCTCCTTTTTGCTGCCTTGATTAAGCGTAAAACATGTGAACTGATTGTGAAGTGACCGAGTGGCCCCTCTTAAAACTCACCTTGCTCTGTCTCAACAGGGTCTGAACCTCGGTGCCTTTGATAATACCGTGGTTCTTTACGTAGCTCGGAATCCGAGTGCTGTTGTCAACCGTTGCATGGATCTCCATGTATTTATGGATGACATCTAGATAGGCCTCTTTCCCCTGCAGAGTGACACCGGACAAACAAAGGATGACACTCTGGCAAAGCAATGGACATGACCAGGCACGGCGCCAGGGATTTTTTTTCTCCTGGTGCTGAGGGGGAGCTTAACTTATATGTTGGGTGGCTATTACTAGTCGATTTTCATGAATTCATAGTTATGTTTTAAGTTCTCTCTTTTTTTCTTCTTCAAATTAAAGCAGAAATAAGTGATGGGGCTAAAACGGGGCTAGACAGGTTTGTGACGGTGTAGCGCCGTGCTTGGACATGACATAAATCACACCTCTCCAAAACCAAGTGTGTGTCTTATCTAGATTTCTGATTGAAAAAGGAGTGACGAAAAAAAAGAATTAAAAATACCCTTACAGACTATATCCAATTAATTTCCAATACGTAAAGGGTAAAATTAAGAGTCAACAGTGTTTTCAAGATATAAAATAGACAATATAACCAATTAGAAACAAGGAGCTTTACTTGTAAATCCACTACATGTCTACCAAGTTCACAGTATAAAAGCCAATTTTACAACCTTCTTCTGTCAGTTGGATCCCTTTTGTGTCAACAGCCACTTTTAAAAAAGATAATTATTATAAGGCATTCTCTTAAATAAAATAAAAATATTTCCTCAAATCAATATCTGTGTTCACATCCTATTTAAAAAAAACAAAATCATTCATCAAGTCAAACTTGTTTCTTGGGAAATCAAAATGTCTGTCAATATAGTCACCTCCCAAAATGTAGCACTCTTCCCATACACGAGTGCCTGGTTTAGTCTTTTGTTAGACTTGAGCTGCTCAGCTTCATTATCACTCAGCTGGTGCTGCACCACAAAGCCCAGGAATGTGTTGTCTGGTGTGTGGGCTGCACACAAAAGAGAATGCAAATGAGGGGGGAAAAAAATAACTTAAAAAGTGAATAAATAGTTGGAAAAAAGAAATTGAAACAAACACATACGGAACATGGTGTAGAACTGCATTGGGATCAGACTGAGGCGGCCAAAAGGACTCTTAAGGTTTTGCTTTTGGGCCCAAGCTGCATGATTGAAGTCTGGCTCAGTGCCAAAAGAGTCCAACACACGGAACATGCACCTGATTGACAGACAGAGATACCAATTACACTCCCACAAACACTTGAGTTTACCAAACATTTGTCTTTTGTGCCCCATAAATGTACAGATTTATGTGTTTTAAAAACTGGGAATGGATTTTAAATCTTAGAAAGGTCTCCCCAAATAGCTAAACAGGTGTTAAAAATCTAGCATGCTGTAAGATTAACACAAAATGCCTGTTTATACAATTATCAACGACACCCTTAAAGAATGCTGACACCTCAGCGCAACACTTTAGTTGTTGAACATGTCATTTTGTTTAATCACCTGAGATGATTTGTATTCTGGAGGCCGAAAGGGGAAGCATCGGGGGGCCGAATGTGGCCCGCGGACTGCCAGTTGATGATGAGTTGTCTATACTTTGCCTCAGGTTATGTACTTTTTCCACCACTGGCATTACTACACACTTGGTGGCTATGGCTGCAAAAATTTCGATCAAAAGAGCAGCTAAATAACCAACATTCATGTTCTACTTAATGTGTGCATCAGTATGCAGAAATGTTCCAGAAACAGAATTGCTGCTCACATTCCCTGGGGCAAGAAGGACAAATCACAGTCAAACGCCTGGATTAACATACACAAGATAGGAGACTTATATTAGCATATCGGGGTGCAGCTGCATGATGTTACAGATCCATACATTATTCACTTTGCATGAATACATATAGGCCTAGTATGAATTAGATCTCATTACATTTTTCCTTAACACATAAAAAAGGTCATCCAAACCTGCATTTCAGCCTGACAATCCAGATAACATACAAGCAGGGTCTTTAAAAAGTTGACTTTACTTTAACAGGTATGTTCTTCTTAACCCCCCTCAGCATTTTCTTACACACATTTCCCCTCTTATGTCTTTTCCTTTTGAAGTCACAATCTTCAATCCCTTCTTTCTCCTATATGGTCTCAAACATTGCTCACTACTTGGTGAAATCATGGAATTTCTTTATACCAGCACATATATTTTCTTTGATAACCTAATTTCAACCGACATGTCTACTCAGATCCGACCAATACCCTCGTTTTTCCTTATTATCCTGTTCCTGCATAATAACCAACTGACTCGCCTTTCTTTTCCTCTCAGACCATTTCACAGTTTTTTCTCTCCTGAAGTTACACTTTCTTCTCTGTGGCAGAGGGTTTGACCCTTGAGCCTTGAGCCTTGTGTTAATTGGGTCAGTACACAGAATTAAAATAGAATTGCTTCAAACTCTTGGTATGTTCAAACTACAGATAAAGCACCATAAAAAAGGAATCAGGATTGTACAAATCACTAATCCATTTTTTTTTTCTACAGGCATGTACTCAAAATAAATTCTTGGCCTAATCCAAAAAGACCTGCTGTAATATGTGATAAATGGTGAATATTCTTGCAACGGATCATCAATTTGTCATTCAAATTATGTTTTAGTATTGAAATAATGGCAGCCACTTTTTTTTATACAATACATGAGCAATATGTGCATACTTCATAATTTGCTTACAGGTCTCAGGAAGTGTAGTGTTGGGTCCAGTATCATTCAACTCACTTGTATTGAATCCAGGATCCCTGTAGTGCTTTCTTTATCTGTTGAAAGCCGATAATGTCTGTATAGATCAAGTCTGCTTCAATCTTTGAACGACGAGCTGGGCAGTTGCTTTTCACCCCCAAAAAGCTTTGGTGGGATTTATACAGAAAGAGAAAGACAATGAAAAAAATCGTAAGAACAGAGATCAAATTCAATTAAACTGTTTCGGATCAACCAGCATTTCTTCTTTCACTTCAAATTGCTCAACAGTCTAAAGAGCATGATATTTGACAGGATAGGATGCTTTTTTTTAACCCATAATTATCAGAATCAAATGTCATGTCTATTACTATTGATTCTCCTCTAGAAATGACACAAGTGACCCTCGCAGAAAACCGCCTGCAACTAAAGGCTCTTTCAGTGTGCTTACTCACTCTTTGAGGTCAGATAGAGAGGCAGACAGGTGAAGGTGGTGGCCCAGGATGTGAAGGGTGGAAATGAGGTCACTCCACTGGACCAGTTCTCCAAGGGGGCCCCCACTGAAAGCGGTTTCGGTTATTTTAAGATGAGATTCATCCGTCACCACACCGGGATGCAGCAGGATCTGTAAGAGAGAGGAGTGGGGTCCAATGTTCTCATGATGGTTACTGCATCTGATGACTCATTTGCAATACAGATACTTCTAAGAATATCCTTTTTTTTTTTACAGCAAACAGAAAGCAGGGAAGACGTGGCAGCAGTAAGTCAAGATGGCATGGGCGAGCCAACTGTCTAGTATTCAAATGAAAACAATAGGGAGTGAAACATTACCTGTTTAGCTTTCGCCCTGTCATGTTGTTTTTGGCTGAAAGAGAGCGTCCAGCCTCAACCCAAATCTCGTCCATACTGCGAATTCTTTGGTAAATCCATCGGTACTGGGCTCTGTTTTCCAGAGCCGGATATAGACCAGAAAGATTGTCCTGTACCTCTGCATATCCTGAGCCAATCTGGAAAAAAATGTAGGTTTTTTTTCATTTAAACTTTCTTTAACCTGGAGTATTGACATTGAGATAGAAAAATGTCCTTTACAAGAAAGTCTTGTTCAAGACAGCAGCAGAAAAATGTTCCACATAAATAACATACAACAGACCATGCCAACCACACATAAATTAGTACCACTCAGCAATAAAACATGCGCATACACTGGTCAAATGATCCTTGATCCTGGTTTTTCAAGATCTTTAAAGCTAATACCATGCTCAAGTTTAAGGTGACACTTCAATCAACAGGTTAATTTCATCACATTTGCCATTTTTTGGATTTCTGTCAGTCTGTCAAACTCTTCACATGTCCTACCATTTTAGAACTGATAAAGATATCCTTGCTCTTTGCAACTGCTCTGAACAGGATCATTTATTATAACCACATTCTCCCATTTTTGTCAGTCAGTTACAAAAGTTTCCACAGTCTATGCTGAATCGCTTTCAGTTTGAATATTCAAAGTAGAAATTTGCTCATTGAAATGATGTGTTTTAGCCCCTTGAAAGCCATTCCCCATATGGTCACTAAACGGATAATGAAATGTAGATACCTGAACACAAACTCAGCAAACAAAGACAACAGAATTAGATATCTCAAATGTGCCATTCTGTACAGTAGTTGTGAATTGCTGCTGCTAAGTTACTGCTACTATCTGCTAAGGTTATACACTCCCTTTATGCCCCAAATATTGCACCTTTTACAATCTATTAAAGAGTCATCTTGTATGACTTGACCTTTGGATTTACCTTAGGGGTTTCCAACGGAGTGCATGTTTCACTCGACCTGGGAGTAGAGGACACCACGACTCTGTCTTAACACAACACAAAAAGAAAAAGAAGGCAGTTACACAAGCACAAACCCTCTTACATTTTTGTTTGTTTCTAGAATTGAGCAATTTACTGTAAGTGACAAGGTCATGCACTGAATGATAGGAGCTGAGAAACCAATGAAGTACCTCACTGAGGTAGATGAAGATGGAGCAAAGGGTCCCATTAACCCCATGACTGGCATAACAAGGGTCACCTTTCCACATCTTCTTCATCCACTGGAGAAACAACAAATCACAACAAAAAAAAACAGTTGACAATCAGCAAACTCTGTCCTCTCATATTGCTTCTTAAAACATTTTATTAATTTGCTTTTTTCTCGACGTTGGCGTTGTTGTATTCATCTTAACATGGTTTTATTGATTTGAGGGCACTCACTCTTGCTACTCATGAAGGTAAGTGAGGAGATCAAGTCAGTGCACACTTGTGTGAGTGTGATTGGCTTTGGCTTTGTAAGACCAGCTCTGGGGAGCTTATATTTCCTTTTGGTCTCTAATGCTCTGTGCTGACTCATTCTGTCAGGGGGATTGGGAAAGGGACACATTTGCAGGCCAAGGGGTGCAGTCCATTGCTATGTTTTATGTATTGTCTCTGTTGTATTAAGTGACTCTCCCTGCAACCACATGTACCTACGGGTACAAATAAAGAAACCTGAAGCTATATCAGAATTATAACGCATGAAAACAAAAGCAAGCTGCCCTCATCAAACACTTGGAAAGGGGAAACTAAAACACTGCATGCCAAGCAGCTGACTAAACACTCACATCTCTCAGGGAGATCAAGGAAACAATCCTGAACTGAACACAATGGTTGCCCAACCTTAAAATGTAAAAAGCTGGGTAAGATAATAGCCAGCCATAACACTCAAAGAAATATGTGATATACAGGTCCCTCTAGAACACATAAAATCACTGGTCTAACACGCCCAGTGGCACCCAAGAGGAAATATAAGCTCCCCACACCTAATCAAGGCCAATCAGTCTCACACACCTGAGTCTGCTCTGAGTTGATTCCCTCACCAACCTCACTGAATAGTAAGAGTGACTGCCCTTACAAGATATAGGCTATATTTGATGTATGGGTAAATAGTTTATTTGCTTAATTCTTTATTTATTTTTTTAAGATTTATTTTTGGGCTTTTTAGGCCTTTATTGTAGAGACAGGACAGTGGATAAAGTTAGAAATCAGGGACACAGAGAGTGGGGAATGAAATGCGGGAAAGGAGCCACAGGTCGGATTTGAACCCGGATTGTCTGCTTCGAGGACTACAGCCTCTTTGCTGTAACCACTTGGCCACCAGCGTCCCTGCTTCATTTATTTTCTAATATTTATTTTTAAACTTATATATTTTAAATATAAATTATATAAATATAATTATATAAATATGAATTAAATATAAATTAAATATTTTCTAATATTTATTTTTACAACTTTTGGTTGACTTTAAATGTAAAGCACTTGGTGGCTTGTTTTTTAATGTGCAATAAAAAAAAAAAATTTAATATTAGGTACTGAAGGGATAAGAATATGCATCAGACTTCTTCAAAGTATACACACATTATGATGCTGTCAGTAGTTTTACCAATGCACTTTGACTAAATGGTTGCTATTAAAATGACAAATAACTTAATTACCATTAATTTGTCCTGGCATTCTGGATATCCATCCATTGATGGAAGTGAACAATTGTCATCCTCTTTGATCTGCTCATCTAAGAAACACACAAACAACAGTACTTTAATAAGAGAGGCTAAAAAAAGTTATTTTCAATTAAATGTTTAAACATTGAGAATAAGTTACCAACTTCCCTGCAGGTAAAATCCTTACTAATTTAGTTCAAAAACATTCCATTTATGTTTTTATTTGTAATGTTTTTTTTTTGCCTTTGATCAGTCAGATATTTTAGTCTAGTCCAATCAGCGATGTCATTAAAAATGTGCCTGATTAGATTTTCGAAGTTGTTGCTATAAAAAGTATGAGATAAGAGTCAAATTCCACCAATGTTGCAAACATTTAAAACAAACTGCTTTCATTCATTATAAGAAGTCCTGATCAGTATTCAAGACAACCTTCATATTACGGGGCGGCAGCAGCTCAGTCTGTAGGGACTTGGGTTGGGAAATGAGGGCTCACAGGTTCAAGTTCTGGTGCTGACCAAGACAACTAAGTCTGGAAATTGGTCTGGTTAGAGAGGTGCCAGTTCACTTCCTGAGCACTGCTGAGGGGCCCTTGAGCAAGGCATTGAACCCCAACCCCCCTGCTGTGGGCAGCACCCCTCACTCTGACGTCTCATCATTAATGCATGTCTATCGAATCTGGTTTGTGCCTTTCTGTGTATTTCAGCCACTGTGTGTAGCATGTTCAACTACAGAGTGTTAAATTTTATTTCCCCTTACAGGATTAAAACAACTTTATTGTCGTCATCCTCTATATTTGAACAGCTGCTCATGGTAGTAGTTAAATGTTACCATTAGCACAAAGCAAAAACATGTCTTTGAGCATGAATAGGTTGTTCTGTTCACTATTCTGTTAAAGCCCTTTAAAACAGGTTTGTTGAGTAGTGAGCAGGTTGTTCCAGGAAGTCTTTTGTGAGACTGCGTTTGGACATAAAGAACATTTATATATATAAGCACACTAAGGACAACTCTTGGTGTTAATATGAACCCTGGTTACCTTCCAAGAGCTTTTCAAATTAAGTTTTAGAGGTGTGACCACAACTCCACTACATCTAGCAGGGCCAGTCAAAGTGTTAAATGTAGGCTATTTGACCACTGTATAAATTAAAGCTATGTAGTCTGAACATATATTTTATTCATAGCATGATGGTGATATTGATTATGACGCTGTTGATTTTGTTGTTAATGTTAAAAGGAAACCTGTAAAAATCCTGAATTTGTAAAATGTTTATGTTCATCGGCTATATTGTATGGTACTCGTAAGACCTAGTCCATTCTTGGAACCCGTCATCTAATGTTTAACAATGTTATAGCGTCTAGGAAATATACTCAACTTCTCAGGGATTCCAGCAAAGCCAGTTGTTAGAAATGAAAGACTTCCTTTTCCACACAATGCCAATCTTTAAATTACGACCAGCAAATTTAGAAGCAAGAACGTAGTTGGAGCTAAGCAGCTACTTTGAGAGCAGACGATGAACACCAGCATGAACACAATATGCTGCTTCTATCGACAGCCTACTTGGGGGTGATTTCTTCATGTCCACACTAAGGAGATTGATTAGTACGATTGGTTTTCAGAACTGCATTAAAAGTTAATAAGTTGTTAATTATACCAAGATAGACTATGAACCATGAATTACAGTATTTGGAGTACATAGGGAAATCTATGTACAATTATACTTTAACGACCCCCTTAAACTTGAATGGAATGACCCTTGCGGTTGATTATGAGACTGTCCTGACTGAGGAAGGAATCGTCGAGTGCTCTACTATTTGTGGTCACCTCTGAATGAATCTTTTTTCTGATGGTTTGCTTTGCTTCTGTTGGTCATATAGAGTCATCAGAATGAATTTCAGTCAGTGTAAATAACCAGCTAAAACTCCTTACAGTAGCTTTAAACTCTCTTTACTGATCAGTAGTTACGTATTTTACCAGATTTGACTAGTTGAACTTTATGCTCCTCCTTCTGCGTCTGCAGCTTTAGGAGTTCTTCCAGTTTGTCCACGTGTTGCTGCAGAAGAAGTTTGTGAGAACGCAGCTCTTTGATCATGTCTTCTCTCATTCGTCCTTTTTCTTTCTCAGCCTCCATTTTAATCTGGAGTGCAACAAATTTGTCTTTGTAGTCCTTCAAAGGAGGAGGTGGAGAGACTGTGAGAAGAAGGTGGGTTTTAAAAAAAAAAAAAAAAAATTATTCATCGCTTTGAACATATTGTCAAGAGCCTTTCATCTGGGAACAGCTATTAACACAATCAACCATATACCACACATTTCAATCAATGACTACTTTGTTCCAAAAAAACAACACTGTAATTAGATAAAGTGCTACTTCACTGAAATACATGTTTACGATATTCAGGAGATCATCCATGAACTTTAAAACGCTCTTCATTATGTCTAGGAGAGAAAAGAGGGGATGGAAATGAAGTTTGAAAAAAGACGGACTAAATTCCCTCAAAAGCAGAATAATGTTTCAACTAATTCCCAGCACCTTACACGTTCGTTTATTTATGTCACCTCTACACTCAACAGTAGTGTGTGTATTACACGAGAGCACTTTTTGAAGGTCTCATCTTGGAATCTAAAGCATTTTTACTCGGCCTCAGACTGGGCAGACTCTGGATTTTAAATGAAGACCAAGACCACCACTGATAGGATGTTTTTCTACGTCATCACTGTGATTAGAAGGAAAACGGCCCTTTTCTATAAGAACTTCACTTCATTTATATCCCTATCTATTTCTTTTTCTTTTTTTTCTTTTTTTTAAGATTTATTTTTGGGCTTTTTGTGCCTTTAATGGAGAGATAAGACAGCTGGAAATCAGGGCGAAGGAGTAGGGAATGACATGCGGGAAAGGAGCCACAGGCTGAATTCAAACCCAGGCTGCTCGCTTTGAGGACTAGAGCCTCCATACATGGGGCTTGCGCACTAACCACTGCACCACTGCACCACTGCACCACTGCACCACCAGCACCCCTCCCTATCCATGTCTATCCCCCGGTTACAGATGCAATCTTCCCTGTGTTATGGTGTAAGTACGTGACTCTCCCCCTGCACACAAGATGATGATTTTTTTATTGATATTTCTGGTCTTTGTCTTCTATTGGTCTCGCGCTGCCTTGGTCTTGGCCTTGACTCGGTCTCGATCCCTTAATGTCTTGGTCTTGTCTCATTCTTGGCGCTCTCTGGTCTTAGTCTCTGTGAGTGTATTAGATATTCTTATGCAACCTGCTGCCATTTCTTGAATATGCACGTAAAAGGAAGAGTAAATCATTCTATATATTATTGACTTTCACTGGTGAATGAGAAAAAAACGTATCTCAATAAATGTACAAGAGCTGCACTGGAAGGAGAACATTTAGGCAATATTGGGCTTCACACATATTGTCTTTCTTCTTACCTTTACCCTGCCTTGTTTCCATCCACTCTCTGCTGTCCAGCCTCGGTTCATGTTCACTGAGGGCCCTCTCGTTAACTTTGCTCTGAAACTGAGTTGTACAGTTTGTGCAGAATGTGTTTTTTTGTCAATTGAAGAGCGTTTTTTGTTGCTGCAGAACATTTGTATGTGTTTTGAATTTGCATCATTTCTGTATTTGACAAACATTTTCTTATAGGGACAGTTTACTATTTTCTTAAGTGGGATTCCATGCAGGCACGCTGACCGGCATCTCCTGTGGCTTGTATATTAACTCTTGACAATTCCTCATACAACCCCACTTGAAAAATGCAGAACTATCCCATTAATATACATTTTTGTCAGCCATTGTAGGTCAGTTGCCTTTGCTGGCCACCGTAGAATTGGCTGTAAATCAAATTGACTAAAAGGTAAAAGGTTATACATTTATTCAACAACTTAAGAGTGACTAAGGGACAGCTCTTGACTTCACTGTATGCAAGCATTGTTAGCTAAATGAATAAAACATGATACAGACCAGGATGAAATAGGGAAAACTGAGACACCAGATGAAACCAATTCCCAGGAGCACAAACAAGGTCGTCCTCAGGGTGGGCATCACTTTTCTCATGATTCTGATAGGCCAGCCAGATGCTATAGAGTTAGATGTGTTGTAGCACGTTTTGAACAAAATAAGATAACTTGAAATGAAATAAATAACAACATTAGTGACTCCCAATATGATTTAGAACAGCTCTAGTCTTCCCGTGTAAAATAAGGAACTCAAACACTTACCCCCAAAGTGTTGGGAAATCCTTAAAACGAATGAACTGAGGTTATTTTGAGACTGTTATGTATATTCCCTTTTCCTTCAGAATATAACAGCTGCCTATAGACTCTGGCAGGATTTCTCAGGTGTGAGTTCACTGCAAACAGGAGAGCTCCTCACATTCACTTGCTTTCTTTGCATCTGTGATACACAGCAAGACTATCCAGACTAACCAGCTTGCTTGCCATTTCCTCTTAGTCACTTAACTTCCCTTTATGTCCATGCCTGAGTGAGAGTACCAGTCGAATTAATGTACACTCGACAAATGACTACCAGAAGATTAGAGCTCTAATCTCTTATGCATGTCCGACATGACGTGGCCACTTGTTTTGTGCTTTCTCTTCTAAAAAAGGCAATGGGCTCTCTTAATTTGAATGATAGTGAACACAACATGTCTTTGTGCTGTACAAATGCTTGAGTTGACACAGATTGGGGTCTGTGGCTTTGAGGTTAATCTAAGTCCTTATATCCATTTGATGTACTTTTTTTGATGCAATTGCGTCTCTTTTTTACTTTTCCACTTAAACTATATTTAACTGCCGCTGGACTCGATTCAAGTTTGATGACTTTTGTTATTTAGCTGATGTTCCAACTTTATTGCTCAGCTTACATTATTCAACTTTCAGTAAATTGCTAAGAGGCTTTTTGTGTGTGAATTACAACTCCTACTGAATACCAAAGTAAGCAGTGTAGAATGAATCTATATGCATATTGCTTTTGTTGTGATTCTGTATAATTTGCTCATATACAAGCCACAGTGTAACCTCATCTTAGATTTATTAAAGTGCTTATTAACCAACAATTGCTGCTGTATAATATTCAAAACTTCCCAGTGTTATTAAAGGTCACATATTATCCTCACACCTGGGGGAGGGGTTTCTGAAAAATCTGGGAAAATCAACAATCTGTTCTGCTCTGTTTGAGTACACATTTTCTGAGAAGTGGAGCAGGTAAAAGACAAAGAGGATTGACTTCTTTCATATTAAGGGGGTTTGTGGACAGGCTATGTCACTTTTGAATTTAAGTTCAGGCTAAAATAAAGTAAAAGGGAAATATAGTGAAAAGTAAATCCCAAATAAGTAAACAGCCCTTTGTTGTTATTAAAGGTTCTTGCAATGGATTGCCTTCATGATGCCATTTATTTATTGTCCACTAGAGGGCAGTGTTTTGCGGCTGATACTGATTGCAATAGTGTAGAGGCAAAAATAAAGGCTTCTTTTTTTAGGCAAGGCAAGTTTATACAGCAAATTTCAGCAACAAGGCAATTCAAAGTGCCTCAAAAATGACTAAAACTCATTTACAGTATGTTTGGCATGTAGCCTGTGTTAATTGAATTACAAATTGTCACATTGATAGTTTGGCTCATTATGTAAAGCCAGTATACATGATGATTTAACTGAGTTAGAGTCAAAAGGCTTAGATTACTTTTAAGATTAACATCAATATTCATGCCAAATGATCAAATTGTCCTATTTAAACACCAGATTAAACAAGTATTCAATTGATTTGTGTTTGATTAAACTTAGCACATGAAATAGTAGAGCATAAATTCATTTAAAGATGTGTTTTTACAACTTATTGTTGTACCCTCTTTTGCCTAAAGAACAACAAGTACGGCTGATGTAATGTAACCTTAATTCCAACAGGAACATAGTAAATCAATAATTAAGTTTCAGACAACTACTGTATATTGACTAAAGTAACATGTAGCTGAGAGTAAATGATAATTTTAATCATCTTTTTAACTTGAAACTTAACTTTTATTGTCTGCACATTTATTGTAATATGAATGCTTTTAAACCCCTTAAACCCCTTAAAGGCTCTTGTGATTTTAGGCTTTTCAATAAAAGAATCACAGAAATATTGGAATGACTGATAATAAGTAATCATTATTAGTTGTTATTTCATTGTTAACAGGAAAAGCAACTATTAACAAATATAAAATAACTGTTATTATGGTCATTAAAAGTGTTACCAACACATGATATATGAAGGCTTACACAGCATTTTATATGGTCTCCACCAGATTATGTTAGAGAAATGACAAGAACAGTTGTTGTATCGCTCATGTTTTTCAGTTGATTTTCTCTATTGATGGATCACTGAGTGACTTTTTATCACTCCAGGCAGAGTTGGAGAAACCTGGTTGGAATGACCTTTCTTATGGCTTATCACTGTGCGTCCATTCACTCATGTTTTGGAGAGAAAATCCCTCCGCCTGACTCCAAGATAAAGACTCAAATGCAGCAACATAACACCAAAATAAATAAATATTTTTAAATGGAAAGAACACACACTGAAAAAAGACCGTAGACTGATCATGTATCTTAGAGACATGGGCGTTGTTCTTCTCTTTGTCAAGCCATATCAGTCAGGCAGTTCAGCCTGTTTTTATGTTCTGATATAAGCCACCCTCTATTGTTGTGCTAAGAGGGTAAAAGCTTTTTTACAATGCATAGTTGTTTGCAGGTGCCTGTGTTTTCTGCTGTTCACTCTCAACCAGCCGGATATGAATGCATGACTTTGTTTCGAAAACAAACTGAATGACCATGAAGAAGAGAGTTGGTTCAGGGTTTATGTTACGCATACATAAGTCCTACAGGAAAAAGGCATTAGGGGCTGAAAGACATGTTTCATAAATGCATTGATAGAGACATGGTCAAAGGGGTTCATTTTGTTACTTCAGATAAACATATAGCAGACACTCAGACACACCAAGAAAGAAAATAATGTAAATATGCAGAATGGTAGAACATAACAGCTTGATAAGGGGCCACATGCAGGTCAAATAAATGTGCTCCATGTGAGAGTTCCTTTTGGGTAGACAGTTAACCTGAGCAGATTTCCAGGTTTATATGATACCAAGGGCCAGATTTACTAAAGGTTTGCGTGTCTTAAAACGTGTGCAAACTTGATACCACCAGCAAAAAAAGTGCTATCTGATCTACTATCTTTCATATGATCAAAACAACACGCATTGTCCTTTTAGTACGGTGTCTGTATTTAACACCTTTGAAAGGAACGTGCTAATCCAGGAGACCAGTGTTACACACAACATGCTGCTGTTGTTGTAGTTAGGAGGAGACATAGGCGCAACAAAAGAAGGCTTAAAGATCGCGTTTTTCCCCACATGTGTTTACATGTTTCAAATGGCAGAAAAATAAATGGCATGCATTTATTTTTTTATGTGATTCAATATTCTAATCGTTAAGAAGAGAAACACCATGATTAAACTACATGGCTATTGTTGTCATAGCCTACAGCCAAAGAAATCTGAACATTCACAGCCTCTGAATTCTATAGAATTTCAACATTGACATTTATTTCTTCCTATTTCCCTCTTTTCGCCAACATTATATTTTAAACAGGGATTTCCTTTTTCTCGGGTCGCGCGTCTCTCCCCCAGCTCGCCCCCTCCGGTGCGCTCTTCTCCATAATGCGCGCACCACCTCCCTCTAAAGCCCGCTGCTGGTACTCAGTAGGACGCTTGGATTGGGGTACGTTTTCGATACTTTTTTCCAGGGCATTTATGTCCGATCAGACACAGCGCTGGCCAGCTGTCTGGGGCTCAACAACGGCGAGTGTATTGCGCAATGTATGACGCTTCATTCTTAAGATTAAGGGAAGAAAAGAGAGGCCCTGTTTAATGCCGAGGTTTTCTTATAACCAACATTTTCTTTGTAATATTCAGATTTATCTCCTATAACTCAAAAGTATTGTGCGTTTATTTGCCTCTCTCACTGATACCTATTTTGCGCTTGCAGTCATCTTGCTTTCTGTCCAAACTCTCCGTGATGTAAACCAGTAGAACACGCAAAAGTCTAACTTAAATAGTACCGCCTCCACAAAGTTTGCACCTGGTGTCATTCACGCAAATTTTCTCAGTAGATCACCCGCAAAACGCCCACCAACCAAACGTGCAAACTTTTGGAGTGAACACCCAATTTAGTACTCTTTAATTGGGAGCTCAGTAAATCTGGCCCCAAGACTCTTAAAACTCATGTGATGAACTTTTGGTTTACAGCCGTTTTGGCGCACCCTTGTGGACAAAGCTGTACATCTTCTCTCTGCTGAGCATGTGGTGTTTTCTGTCAAAACGTCATCCTGTCCAGTTAAATACATCACTTGGGGGCATTGGGGGTGGCATTAGCTCAGTCTGTAGGGACTTGGGTTGGGAATCAGAGGGTCACCAGCTCAAGTCCCAGCACGGACCAAGTCCAGAAATTGGTCCGGTAGCTGGAGAGGCGCCAGTCCACCCCCTGAGCACTGCAGAGATGCCCCTGAGTAAGGCACCCAACCCCCCCACCAGCCCAAGAGCACCCACTGTGGGCAGCTCCCTCACTCTGAGACCTCTCCATTAGTGCATGTCCATAGGATCCTGTGTGTGTATTTCAGCCTATGTTTGTGTAGCATGTTTACTAGACAGAGTGCAAAAACAAATTTCCCCTCGCAGCATCAATAAATTATTATTATTATTATTTGATTAATAATCGAAGATCTTTGTTATCAATCATCTGACACCTACTCTGCAGCACTCGTTATAGGCAATGACGGTATACCAAAGTGTATAGAAATGATCAAACTTGTGGTGGTCTGATGTTTGGTCTTGTTTGCTTTTGTATGTTACAGTGAGGTATTCATATTAATTTTAGTCCATTTGGTAACCAGCTTAAAACGCAACACAACTGCTTTAAAGGTAAGTCACCTCAGGGTGAATTATATTCAATGCTACAAAAAGAGACTCAGTTTAGTCTTTAAAATGCATTGTGTATCTTTCTTTTTTTTATTCATCATGCCCTTTGGGTCATCAAGTTTGGATTGTTAATGGTGCAAAATTGCAGAAGGTAGCACAGCATTCTTTGTTGTTAGGTTTAAATCAGAAGGGCTGTGAAATAAAAGGAGTGCTTCACAGCTTTTAATGCACCAATAACCCCAGTGCTAGTTTTTATCAGAGAAACACCAGATGATATCAAGATCTTCCTCTTTCATTGTCGAGGAAAACTCACAGAGTAGATGCTGCTGTTTATTAGAGGGAAGTACTTTTTGACTTTGCTACTATGTGTTGTGATATGACTAGAGTCACTGTTCAATGTAGAAAAAAAGGGAAATAAAGATAAAATAAGATAAGATAATACTTTATTGATCCCCAGAGGGGAAATGCATGCATTGCAGCAGCAAAAAGACAAGTAGCAAGTAGGTCATCGAAACAGAATAGATAAGATAAGATTTTTCGGATGTCATATGAGTGTCTTTCAATTCGGTCATTCCGAGTCAATTTATGTGCATTATGAAGCTAAGAGCTAACCAAAGTGTTGCTTACATTAGCATGCTAACACAACAATGCAGGACACAGGCAATGGCAGCTCAAGCAAAAAAAAAGTTTTATCAACTTAAATTCTTACACTCAAACACAATAGGTTTGAGTATTTCAGTTGGAGCTGCTTCCATGGCAGTAGCATTACTCACATTCAAACAAATATTTTATATTTATAAAAGTCATTGAAAATACAAATAAAAAAATAAATAAAAAAAGCCTCCAAAGCCGTTCGATGAAATGGAACACAACATTGGTACTCACTGACCTCAAGCTGCTTTGTCATGGTCAAAATACTCTCCTTTGGTTGCCTTTGTTGTGGCTCGGCCTCTGTACAAAAGCAATGCTTTCATTGGCTTTTAGATAAACAATTTTCCATTTAAGCCAGAACAAAGTGTGTGACAGAGGCTCGAGTCAGACCACTTTTAAAGCAGCATGACAGCAGGATGTATGTTTGAGGAGACAAGCTTGAACTTTTCTGCTGTTCAAATTGCACCAGGAGGCTAAAAAGAGTGATGTTAAATCAAGTGTTGTTGTTTTAAAGTAGGAACTGAAACAATGTGCCTGATCGTTGTGCATCTGCTCGTCCTGATGACCCTCAGCTGTCTGACTCGTGCTGAAGATAAAAAGACGATGCATGTCTCTTGTCCAGAACACCAGAAGACCTATGGAGGCTCCTGCTTTGAGTTTATGGGTCTCCAGCGTACTTTTTATAGTGCTGAGGCTTGGTGTGAGCAGCGTGGTGGACACCTCGCTTTTATTCCAAATGAAGAAACTCAATATTTCATTCAGACTCATCTGGACCCCAAGCAGGACGTGTGGATTGGAGCGGCACCTTCTGCCTCTCCAAACCTGCAATATTCTTCTACTTCAGAAGGTAGGAGGCTTAAATGCAAAAAGAGACTTGGATGTGATAAACTATATCTCATTCAATGCTTTCTTGTTTTTTTAAATGATATAAGCATCAGTTTGGATTAGCTTCCAAGGACACATTTTTATCAATCACAGATTCTACTAAAGATTTGTATGTGGGCTTTAAAGTCCCTCGCGCATTGAATCGATCCTTTGCACACTTCAATTTATCTCCCATCAAAATGATTAGTTAAACACATCTGATGAACAGTAAAACGCTCATAAATTAGGTAATCTTTTTAATGCATTTGTGTCGATTATATTCTCACTGTCCATGGAGATGGCTCTCTTTGTTTACTATGAAGACTTTTAGCCTTTATAATGCCCTGTCTCACAAACACTGGGGTGAAAAGTTTTAGCAAACTTTCTAAATAAGAGGGGGAATATACTGTAAGTACATTCCCTGATTTGAGAAAAAAATATTTGAAACCATTCATTTTTTTCTGTCTGTGTCTTTGTAAGACAATGGTTTTCACTTGATCAGTTGAGGTTTATAATCATAAACATATATACTTACTATGTCAAACTGGTGTTCAGAAGGAATCCCCATTAGGGCCCATTTTTAAAGCGGAAATAAACGTGATTACAGCTTGTTTTTTTTTTTAAAGATTTATTTTAGTTTTAGCTTTTTGTGCCTTTAATGGAGGGATAGGACAGTGGATAGAGTCGGAAATCAGGGAGAGAGAGTGGGGTATGGCATGCGGGAAAGGAGCCACAAGTGGGATTTGAACCTTGGCCGCCCGCTTGGAGGCCCTTAGCCTCCATACATGGGGTGCGCAATAACCACTGTGCCACCAGTGTCCCATTACAGCCTAGTTTGAAAAAAATTATTAACAGCAATGTATCATGCCTTTATTGGTATACTGTACGGGGGCTGATCTGGAACATGTTCCTTGATTTTCACAGTTTTACTTCTTGTAATATCAAAAATTTACACAAAGAGTACGGTGTATGTGGAAAAAAGAAGTGATCTACAACGCCCATGTTTTGAAAGTGTTGTTCTATCTATCTAAATCTTGTAATAAATTTGAACATGGTGGCTCATATCTATCTTATCAAAGACTTCTTGACAACATTGAAGTCTATATGGCAGATGATCTCAGCATTTTGAGGGGTGTTGACTCAGCAGTCAATCTCAGTAGAAAGTAATTTATTATTGGTTTAGTCACTTGACGAGTTTGCCCACAAAAATAATTATATTAAATTTTTCTGGCATTTTTTTAATTGTACACTGATAAAAAAACAATGACAACATTATTACACTGTTTACTGTTTGTCAGATGTAATGTGTTTTCCCTATATGTTGAGAATAATACAATAGATGAAGGTCTATAAAGTTCAGTCAGAGGTCTGTGTTAAACACTGTGGATTCCTGCTTATAAACGCAAGTCTCATACACTATATATTCAGAAAGCAACATCTTGAATCCTTAAGGTTTGGCAATTATTGTGGCCATTTAAGCTTTCAATGCACACGTTCTCAGCAGTATTTCCATTCCCCAGGTCCTTTCTCTTGGCTCGATAATTCACCTGTCACATTTTCTAAATGGGAGCACAGCCCGCAGCCAGGAGCAGCCTGTGGACACATATTGACGAACTCTCGTTTCCAGTGGAAAGCCACAAAGGACTGCGATAGAAAATTACATTTCATCTGCCAGTTTGGTATGTATTATGACTCTGACTTAAAAAGCAAACTGAGCCACGCTGTGATGTTTTAACCACTTTCTATCACTCTTTTGTACCCTTTTCAGAGTCTGGCAGATCCATTGTGTGTGCAGGTCGTAACACCACTTTGCAGTGTGGCTCTGGTCAAGTTTTAATGATAGATGGTGGCTTCTACGGACGAAAGAACATGCATTACTGTCGGGTAGGGTTAGGGTTATCTTCTCTCTTCCCACTGATGACACCCACACAACAACAGTGCACTTGGGTGGATGTTCAGGAAACATTAACAGGTAAAACATGGTCAAACTGTGTACAATAAACATTTATTTTGTTGCTAAGCTTCTTATTATAAGTCATGTTTATTAATAATAATAATAATAATAATAATAACTTTATTTATATAGCGCCTTTTAAAAACACAGGTTTACAAAGTGCTTTGACAAACAGCAAGAACAAAGCAAACTAAACCAAACACAGAAAAACATTAACAACAGTAAGAATATAACAGATGCAAAATACCAAAAATAATTAAATACAATTCAACAGAAAAGAACCCAAAGTGCACGATACACAACCAGACATATATAACCCAACCATCATAAGAACTATCATAAGAACCATCATAAATGTTATTATCCAGAGCTGTTTGCTGATATATATTCAGCACAATAGATACTCTAATCATTTCTCCTGTAATATGTTGAATTGAATAGGAAAAAATCAGAATAGGAAAACAAACACTCATGAAAAGGTTCTGATCACTGTCATGAAATCCAATCCCTTAACATAAAGCACATTATACCACAGACCTTTATCTGCCCGTGTGGAGAATAAAAGAAGGAAAAACAACAATGATAGCTTAATGGCCTTAAAGATAAGTAAATGATATCTAACCATTTTAAGTAAATATTGACTCATGCATTTAACTGACAACACAAGCAGAGCATCCATCCATTCCTTCCTTTTTTTCAACTAACTTGCTCATCCTGTTTACTGTAGGCTAATATGCAGCCTTTTCCAGAATACATATAGAGAGAGAGTACATGATGGACAAGATGATAAGACAGCCAAAAAACACACAACGTCAAATAAAGTCAAATAGTGACTAATATATTCATACACTGTGTGTGTATGAAACACACTTACGGCCATACCACCCTGAACACGCCTGATCTCAGGATCTCAGGGGTTCGATCCCCAGCTCCTGCAGTCGAATGTTGTTCAATCAGGAGAGACTTAATTGAGGATGAACAATGTTCATTTTAAGTGGACATGTTGTGAGAAATCCACTTTCACAGTGTTTTTGGGTATCAGTATATTTGGGTAACCTGAGTGTCTACTGACCCACAAAATGTGAAATAAACCCATCCAGTCCTCCCTTTCAAATTTTCTCAGTTTGTGATGTCACAAAGCTGGATTCTGGTAAAAAAAAATCCTCTCCCCTCCCCTGGTATCTCCACACATGGACTCTACCCCCAGCCTAGAACAAAACTTTTGTACAGGTATGTCATTTTTAGTCTCGCTACAGAGAAGCTGTTGCAGAAGCTGTTTCAGGAAACCTTACTTTAGTGATGTTCAGTCAAACTTCCCCACGTGGTCCAGCTTTAAGGTACTGACGGATCGCTTTTCTGGCCCATCAGAACTTCTGCCAGCCAAATGATTGTCTCAACAGTAAGGTAGAAGTGACGTCACACAGCAGTGTAAAGTTGATGCTCAGCAGCTGAAGCCGGGTCGTCTGTCTCAGTGGCTCCTAGTAGATCAGAAGAATTAAAAGAAAATTAACTAACTCAAGATAAAACTTGTGGGCCAATTCAAGTTATCTCTAGTCAGATAAAAATTAGCTGTTTGGGGCACTGGTGGCGCAATGGTTAGGGCGCGCGCCCCTTGTATTGAGGCTGTCATCTCAAGCGGGCGGCCCAGTTTCGCATCCTGCCTGTGGCCTCTTTCCTGCATGTCGTTCCCCACTCTCTCTCTCCCTGGTTTCCCATTCTAAAAAAAAAAAAAAAAAAAAAAGGGGTTGTTTACAAAAAGAATGACTGAAAAACGACACGTGATGTTTACGTGCGGCAAAAACGTGGAAAAAGGAAACACAAAAGATGATATCATAAGAGTAGAGGTCAGGCCAGCTGATCACTCTCTTGAGAACCGAAAGATAACTTGACAGGTTGGAAACAAAACACAACTAAAAATACAACAGAACAAAACTCAACTAACTGAGAAAGCTGACTCTGCATGTCTGTATCAGAGGGAAGGGCGGCCTCCAATAACTTCATGATTTGAATCAGTTATGCGATTTTACTTAATAAACTCAAAGTAGTTCATGCGGAAAACCACTTTATGACGTTTCCATATTTTCTAAATGTGAGCATTGTAAGTTTAACATTGGAGAGAAATCTCTAAACATTGTGGAATATTATTCTTTTCAAAGCTGTAAATGAAGGCAAAAATATATTAAACAGTCCACAAAGAAATCACATTATAGATCAATGTAATATGAAAACATAGAAAGATAATATACTTATGTTACCCTTTATATATGATAACATGCAATATGATAATATATAGACTAAATATATGTTTAAAAGTCTTGTGTGTCTAAGACAATAAGCTAGGTTTTACTTAACTTTAGTTCTGTAGATCGTATGAAAACATAAATCGAATCAAACTGTCACTTTTAACCTCACGGACATATATATGTAAACCAGAAATTAAATGGACTTTCATTTAATGCACAAAATTAGATCTTTCAATTTGAGAAAACCACAAAGTCTCTTGTCAGTTTTATGATGCTTGGACAATTCTCCTCAGACAGCGCGTTACTTCTTAACGTCCACTTCCTTCCGGTTCGTTGTTAATAGCGTCATAGCTATCACCATAGCAACAGTAGAAAACGTAACAGTCCAACATTTCTCTAGCGAGACCTGAAAGAATCTTCGTAGAAACGAACAAACTAAAGATCATAAACATAAACCGAACGAAGATTATGAAGATACAATGTACATTTGTCGCCAGAAAGGTTATCAAAACGACACTTAAGCCTCAAACTATCTTAAAATATTGCATTTCCGCCGAAAATAGAAGGGATGTCCGCCATGTTTTTCTTTCCGCCAGGGGAAAACTGGGCAGTCACGTGACCTGAGGTATGCCTATACAAAAGAATAGGCAAAAGGAAACGTAGGCATGTCACAATTTTATAGCCATTATTGTGAAACTACTACGTTTTGCGCTGTGGACCAACATTCAATCATTTTGACATGAGACTGGGTTGGGAAAAGCACATAATTATATGTCCATTAATCTGCCAGTTTTCCTGTCATATTGAGTTTTAATTTTTTTTGTGTGCACGGATTCAATAAATACATGTAAGGATTTCATCTGCATTTTTTGTGTGACTGGCTTAAAGCCTCTCCTCCCTGGTGTTATGAATTGCTCTTCTCTACTGGCTGATCAGACCAGGAAAGGGTTGTAAATAAATGGAGCTAATGTGAAAATTTATCATGTCTAATAAATTCAAAGCACCAAAAAGTATGATTAATGGTGATAAACTCTACACTGCCATAAGGTTTCTATTACATTGAGAGGGTAGTGAAGCTGTCTGTAAAACAAACTTGTCCACACCCACATATTCCTGAAAAGAGGTCCAGTAGAGAAATTATATTCTACATACTTCTTAATTTCTTCCACTCACACTGCCTGCCATCCATAAAAAACACCAGAGTGTCAAGACATCTTGTAAGATGTTTCAAGGACCCAAACTGTCAAAAGTTTTAATCAAAAGATCTAACCAAAAGAATGTCTTACATCTTAACAAAGAAAGCTTTAAGCACACTAAAGAAGTCCCACCACTGACGAGGTAGAAACCCTATTGTAGTTTAGAGTTTTGGAGACATCAGGGTATGAAAACACGCTCAACTCCATTTCAACATAAAACAACTGGGTGCTGAATCCCGAAAAGTGTTAAAACAAGCAAAATTATTACTGGAGGACACTCCAAATTTGTATTTTTAATTGCCGCACAAACGTTTCGAGCAGACTCTTCTTCAACGTGTAACAGGCAATTTTCTCAAACATCCACAGGTGGGACTAATTATTATTATTGTCCAAAATTTTGTGGGGGCCCCGTCCACCCCTCTGGACTCATTCTTGGCATTTCTTTCCAACATTAAGTAAATTCAGGCATTTTTTAATGCTTACACTTCTTTAGCTTTGATTAAGTGTTCACATGTCTTTTGTATCCTTTGGGGTGTGTGCATGAACTGTGAATGTTCAGTGTTTTGTTCTCTGTTCATTTTAAAAGCAAAATACAACTACTGTCTATGATTATGATGCTTAAAGTTTGGCTTGTAGTTTAGGTTGTTGACTGAAATGGAGTTGCAAACCTTTTAAACTGAAACAGTAAGAATATTGACAGTACCAGTAATAGTATATTGTACTTTTTGGTAATTCCCATTAAGTGTTAATAACACGTAAATCTGTTCTCCACGTGTTTCCCAGCTTACTGCCAAGGCCGCCAGGTGTGTCAGGTTACAGAACTTGTGGACTCCTTTGGTGAACCCTGTCCGCAACATGGGAGCTACATGTCTGTGGACTACCACTGCAAAGAGGGTAGGTCCCTGTTTAGACAAATATCTCATGGGGGATGTCTACATCTAGTATAGACCATTTAGGCTTCAAAGTGCCTTTTATCAAGTGAATGTTTCCATGCAAAGTAAAAAGCTAGAACAGATGCATAAACCAAAAAGGAGATGGATGACAGTGGATATGAATTAGTGTTGTCATTGGGAACACCAGTAAACACTGATGGTCTCAGATAGTGAATTGCTTCTGCAGGATTAAATCTGTATTTACCAAACTTTGCTACTATGCTACTGTGCTGTGATTGAGGTATGACTATGAACTGTCTTATTTTTTTAATGCACTGTTCATCACAGTCACATTGCTACATGCTACATGAAAATTGCTACAAGGAAATGTCTGTTTTGTGGGATGAAAAAAGGTTCATGTTATCTTATCTTTCCTAGGCCTCACACTGTCATTGAGCACTGTTGGGTCTGTTTATGATGATGTAACCATCAGAGTGAAGTGGCTTTTAGATTTGCCCCAGGGAGACATTAACTGCAAGCTGAGTACCGGAGATGGGCACATTTTTGATCTGCGTGTTTCAAAGGGGTGAGTATTAACATTTTCAGTCTAACTGACTTGGGTATTTGTTTTTTTAGATTCAAATATTTAATATATAGCTTTCCACTCAAGTCTCCCTAAATTCATAAAATAAGACAGTGTCTTTCACACCAAACGCAGTGCTGATCACAGGGGATGGGATTGATTAGGGAAAAATATGAATAAACATACCTGCTTTAAAAAGTTGCCTGACCTCAACCTGGGTTGAGAATGGAGACATTGATGCACGAAAAGTGTGAAATCAATCAGCTCGAGTTGTCCGCCTCTAGCTGGCAGGCTTTGCTACATTAGTTTTAAGTGATAATATTTTATTTTAACCTTTAATTGTCAATTAAAAATGAAAGTTTAAAACATACATTTTTGCTTGTCATTTAAGCGAGCCTGTTGCACAAGGGCCCTGGCTGTTAAGCCCCACACACTGCCAACTTAAAGTAAATAACTCTGAAGATTTCAGTGGTTGCTTAAGTGTCGTGCCAAAGGACACATCGGACATGTGTCTGCATTTGCTGGGGATTGAACCCTCGACAATCCTGTGAAGAAACGTCCAACTCTTATCCACAGCCACCCTGTGGATACTACACTGTGTTGAATCAGATGATCTGTTTGTGTGTGACAATGAACGATAGACATTGTTATTTACCTAACACTTCCTTAAACTGCCATCAATGTGTAAACTGATTTTGATGTTACATCAAAGAGGCAAGTAGTTATTTGTTAGGAAGATGCCCTTCTAAAGAACATCTTTTCATTGTTTAACTTTACTGTCACTTTATTTTAATCCTTTCATGACACAACTATTACAAGTTTGATTTCGGTCCCTGCTCCATCCCTGCTCCATACCCGGTGATGGTGCTTTTAAGTCATGTTAATAAGATACAAAATAACTAAAGGTAACACAAGATCCAATATGTTTTAAACTTGTGGCTGAGTGATAAGGAGGTGTGTCTGACGAGATAATTTGTTTTGATAGGAAAATCAGAAATCTGTTTTGGTCTGAAAAACGTAAGCCTTTAACATCCATGAGCCCTGATTAACATACATGATAGTTACCTTGCTTACGTTACAGGTCCATCATATCCTCATACTTTCCTGATTGGAAAGTGAAGCCATTTATGTTCTGTCAAAAGTTCATGTCAACAAGCAAGTTCACAAAAATATTGGCATGTAATCAAATGCTAAATCTAAAACACATTACCAACACAACAGCAGCCTGGTTCACATACTGTTTTCACTTTGGAGGAGTGTGTGTGTGTGTGTGTGTGTGTGTGTCACATTTGTTATCCTGTGCCTTTTCCCAGGTTGGAGAGCAGTGTGGTGTACAAATATAAATGGCCAAATGCATTTGTTGTAATGGCTGAGTGCACCCACAGTGACATACACATTACAGCTCAGAAAATGATTACCATTCAAGAGCCCATCACAGAGTTGGGTGTCATCAGGTGCTTTTCTGGGAAATTGTCTTTTCATGCTTTTCACTGCAAAGCCCTTGACGGAGATTCATTTCAAATTCAAATGGAAGTTAAAGCAGGTATGTGCCCTGATGACCGTAATGTCCATTAATCCTGCCCAATTTCATATAAATGCTTGAAAGCTTGAGGTCTTTTTTTGTGTGTTAGATGTACAGTTTGGATTGAAACTCTTCAAATGTTGTTGTGTCTTTTCGTGCCTTTTCTTTCATCAGGTACAAATGTGACTTACAGAATCCAGAAAGATGAAATGTTGCTGTCCAGTTTATCCATGGTCAGAGGAAACATTCCCCAGAACGTCACAGTGACTTCACACACGGTGCAGCAGCTCGGGCCTGGCTGCCATCATCTGACTCTCTATGCATTAAACATGGCCACGTTCCCAGAAACATCTGCAGCCCTGCAGGTAATTCAACATCTATCAAGTGGACCAAAATGTTTTATCAATAAAGGAGTTGCAAGTGACATGATGGAACTAATTTTGACTCAGTGGAAAATGAAATATAAAAGGTTTAAGACATTTTGATTATTTGATGAGGGAGTTGATGAAGGAGTTAGAGCCTCTCGCAATCAGAAATTAACCTTTAATTATGGACTTCCATCGCATAATTAGTTCATCACTTCAACATCAACTTCCTGTGTTATCAAGTCTGTTTTTAAAACTTTGATCTCTGAGTCATATCAGGTTAGGGCAGCATAAAGGAGTGTTTAGCACCATTACACTGCAATGTAGACAGCTGGATGACAATAGAAGCGTTCATCTCTCAATCAGGGTTTAATCTGTTTGATATGTAGTCTTACAGACAAGCAATATTGAAAGCACGCTGACGTATTTCTCTTTTGTCATTCAGATGTGCGTGTTGGAGAAAATAGCCGGGCTGCAGGCGTCTGTGTTGACTAAGCAGTCAAACTGTGGAGACACATCACAAATAACCATCAGTGTTTCACTCGGGAAAGGAGCGCCTGTGACGCTCCTCTTCTTCCTGACTGGAGAAAGCAGCTCATTCTCTGACACCAGAGAAATGAATAAAAGGATGGACATTTTTCATATGGAGAACCCCATTAAAGGTATGAAAGACATGTCGTAAAATGGGGACTGTTTATGAGGTGAAATACAACTGTAGTCGAGTGTAGAATTATTGTCTTTAGCTGGGTCCAAACACAAAGAGAAGAAAACCAGACCAAAAGTTCCAATATGGAGATTTTATTAATATCGACCATCAATTATTTGGATGGCAGTAGCTCAGTTTGTAGGTACTTGGGTTGGTAACCAGAGGATTGTCAGTTCAAGTTTCGGTGTGGAGCATAATATGCAAGTTGGTCTGTTTCTGGAGAGGTGCCAGGACACTTCCCGAGTACTGCTGATGTGCCCTTGAGCATAGTACCGAACCCCCGACCGCTCTGGCGCACTTCCTGCGTAGTGTAGCAGTGTGTAGCAGCCCTACTCTGACATCTCTCCATTAGTTCATGTCCACAGGTCCTGTGTGTGCATGTGTGTATTTCGGGCCTGTGTGTGTGAGCAGCATGTCTCTCATTAACAGAGTGGAAAACCAGAAATTCCCTCAGGGATTAATAAATTATGTAAAATACTAAATATATATATACATATATATATCATGACTGTATATTTCACAACAGGATCTGTGCAGGTCAAAATCAGAGCCTGGAATGTCTTCTCCTCTTTGGAAGTGGATGTGGATATGTACACTCCCTGTGGAAATAGACTAAATGAAGATTTGTTTAGATTCTACAAGGTACTGGAGACCCATTATCTGTTTACATGTAACAGTAGTGATAACTGTAATCCACTTCATTTTTCTAGCAGTCTTCATTTTGCTTATAGTTATGAATGGTCTGGCTAATTCTTCTCATATTACATTGTCTGTCCACTGCATCATTGTATATCTTGTTCTTCATTTTCAGAGGAAGAAACACATTCGAGTTGTCAGAGATGGAAAAAAGAAAACAAAACTACTTGCAACAACAACAGGTTCCGTGCCTAACATAGATCGAAAGATCGTACTCACAGTAGAAAGCGGCTTCAATCTAAATGCGGCAAACAGCCGCTACGAGTGGACATGCAGTGAGTATTTTGTTTTCTTACTCTTTTTTCAAATGTTTTCTTTTTTTTTTTTACATACTTGTATAACATTTTTTTACATACTTGTACAACATTTGTGTTTTTTGATTGCCTGAGCTAAAGGTGGTACTAGAGTAGGCAAAGTGGTTCACTAAGCCCCACCATACAAGTAGCTGCTGGTACAGTATGCCTGTCAAGCATTCAGTTCTCACAAAACATAAAGGGAAAACAATCAAATTTAATGAATTCTTCTTTTTTAATTGGCTTTGATTCCAGACAAAGTTAAACAAAACATCACTTCATTTCGTGACATTTTCTCAGTTGAGAAGACATCTAGCAGATTTTACCAGCTGTAGCTAACCAGCTAAATAAGCTAATGTTTCTGTAAAGCCACCTGATTAAAGGACCAATATGTTACTCTGACACCTAGTGTTTCAAATGGGTATTGCAGTCCAAATTCTAAATATTGAAGAGAGCTGTCTCTCCACCGTACATTACTATCAGGATTAATTTTTCTGTCATTATGTCAATTGTTTTTGCTGGATTATGATCACTTTCCCTGTTTATTACAGAAAACCCTTGTAAATGTCAAGGGAGTTACAATGGAGTAGAGCACATTGTTCAAGGAAATTGCCTACCAGATCCATTTCAGTTTAATAAGTATCATTTTAATGTGATCAACAACAACAACAATAGGGTGAAGGAAACTGACTCCATATGCATCACATTTACCCCTCAGAAAGAAGCTCCAAGTTGGCTAAGGTACTTCAATGTTCTTAATTCCATAAGCTCAGATCACTCAGACAACTAAACCTGACACTGTCATCCGTGTCCTCCACACTTTACCTGACTGGCTAACTTCTCTGTATCTGACATTTTCTTACAATATAAATCTACCAAACTAAGGTAAACTTGAATCAACATTACAGTGTCATTGGTTTAAGAAAATCAATGAAACAAATTAAACTAGGACTGACGTTTGTTTTTGTAGGCTAGCTAAAAGAACCTGATGAACAGTTGTTGTCATTGTAATGTAGACATTGAAAGACATGCCCAGGTTGATTTGCATAATGCATATGATGACAGCGGACAGCTTACACACATTCTTTAGAAGCAAGTAGAAACAACAAAAGGTTGTAACTCAGCTGCAATAATGTATTTTTAACAACATTGCATTAGCTACAAAATAGGAAAAACGATTGACACTTGAGGAAGAAAAAAAATGAAAGGCCAAATTGCCTACTCACTATCACAGTCCTCCTAACTCACAGTTTGAGATTTTAAATCCTGGATTCCATAAAACAAATGGGCATCAATGTGAGCTGGATGAAGGCTCAGCTGCTATTAAGGAAATCCCAGCCAGAGAAAGAAAATCTCCCACTTGTAGTGCTCTGCTGTGGGGATATATATTGACTAAACAGGGAAATCTGTCCTTGTTACGGGCCACCACTGAACCAGGTTCTTCATGGTGGAAATATGAGGTGTTAGTAATAGTCATGGATTTCTTAAACTGCAGTGAATTACTGCCCCATTTTACTCCAGCTTTGCAAGTGTTGACCAAAAAGCTGCGGAAATGCGGAAATGTAAGAATAACTTTTTAGTCAGTTAAAGGTTAAGTTGATATAAATTATGACTAATATATTTATTCATGGCAATCACTTTCCTTGTTGTTTCCATGTAATGCTGACATTGACATTTGACAGTGTAGTCAGCCAGCTTAATCATTTTAAAGGATGTTTTATTGCATTTGAAGCAGTTAGTCAAAATCACACATAAAGCTTCATATCACTATAGTGATAGGACATGCTGCAGTAATGTGTTAACAAATTCCCATTTCCTTTGAACCATAGGCTCACTTGCACAGAAGGCTGTAGCCCCATAGAGAAAAACAAAAATGCTAAAATTAAAATGACTTGTGAAGGACAACCACGGTGTCCTCAAGTTGTGTGGCACATTGAGGACACCAATAAAGACAAGGACTGGACAGTAAGTCTGAATACTGTTTAAAGGGGCTATATGTAACTTTTTACAGGTATAAATCGTTTTTTATCGCCCATTAGTAAGCGAACGGTTAACTGATGTGAAAAAGTAGATGTTCACTGTCCATCTGGGTTGCCTGTATAACATTTTTCCCCGGGTCGTATTTTCCGCGAAAGCTCCAGGAAGTGACATTTTATGCACGTTCTCAACGTCCTCCTCACTCCGCTCCGCTTACAGCGATCAACAGTACAAACTCATCACACACTCCCGGTCTTCACCTCCACAGCCTGAGGCCATCTTCCACACACTTCTATCTCACTCCTGCTCTCAGCCAGTGCCTGCAGAGACTGTCATTTGTAGGATGGAGAATGAATACAGACACACAGACTCCTTCACAGACTTTCACATGTGTATGACCACTTATCTCCTCTGTAAACATTATGCCGGTAAATATCCAGTGTTTCGCGGCCGATGATGATGCTCGTTTGTGTACGTACGAGCACGTATGACGAGCTCGCAAGGGAGAGCGAGCAACAGGTTACTGGTGCGGTTCGCCTAACAGCCATGCGGTATCGCTACAAACGCAGTATTTTTGAAAGTTATATATAGCCCCTTTAATATTGTAAAAAATACTGTATCCATTGACCGAATTAACTTGCATGCAAATATACAGTATTTACAGGGAGAGACAAATAGCTGTTACATAAGGCAAAAGAAAGGCCACTCACGAGCAGAAATGATGGTGGGACTGAATATGATGTGAGTTATGCCAGACTTCAACTGGCAAAGAAGAAAGGTGTCTCAGTGGTGATAACATATGATGGTGAGTTCAACTTCAACTTTTTTTAAATAGTCAGAGCTCTGTGGATTTATCTTGCTGCAAGTCCTTAAATCAGTTATTGCTTCCAGATCAGTTAATAATTAATGTTAAGAAAACACAAAGGCTTGATGGTGACAATGTTCTTTTGTCATGTGCATCATTCATTGAAGGATAAACTATTTATCATGTCGATTTTGTCGAAGTATATCCTCTGAAAATAACTCTGTGAGTCATGACTGTCTACAATGAGTGTGACACCCGAGTCCCACTGTCTGTGATGCTTTCTGAGTTTTACGTGTTCTATCTTAACTTTGTTTACATCGCCGGGACGGTCGGCCGGCCTGCTCATCCCCCGGCGTAAAAAGGTTGTTTAATTGAGGGACTAGAGAAAAGAAGAATAACATACTGTACTCACTGCTTCATTGAATGTCACATAAGCGTTTCTAGGTCACGGTCATTTCAGGTAAATTTCCATGCAGTGTGAAGATACGAGCATAATAAAGATCTGGTTTCATGCTGGTGCTCAAGGGTGACATCTACTGGATCAAAAAGTTGTATATTCTGCCTTTAAAAAGTATGTTATTTGTAACTGTTCCTTATATTTCATTATTTAAGTTCTTGCTATTTTTACTTTATTTTCCTTTGTTAACTGTTTCTACACCAATACACCAAGACAAATTCCTTGTATGTGTAAATGTATTCGGCAATAAAACCATATTCTGATTCTGATTTTGCAACAGGTTTACAATATTTAAATAACACATTCTTTTATTGTACCTTTCTTCTCATACCAAAGATGATGGAGAATATTATTACAAAAAGTACTTCATAGGGACACAATCATCAAAAGAGAGTTCATCTTCATCTGATACGACGGATCAAAATGAAGGCAGTGATGACCAAACAGCAAACACTCCTGATCCTGACACTGAATCACCTGGTAATACTATTGCCCCTGCTAAGACCACAACAATTTCCATACCAGCAAAAACCGTACCAACATCTAACACGGCTACCACAACGATAGGAACCAACAGCGGGAAGTCAGAAAACACTGTTCCTCCTGCTGGAGCAGCTGCTACCACAGGATAGCAACCAACAACGCTAACTCAGAAAACACTGTTCCCCCTGCTGGAGCAGCTGCTACCACAAGGATAGCAACCAACAGCGCTAACTCAGAAAACACTGTTCCCCCTGCTGGAGCAGCTGCTACCACAAGGATAGCAACCAACAGCGCTAACTCAGAAAACACTGCTATCACAGCCAACATTGCTACCACCACTTTTCCCTCAGCAACCTCTAACACAGCTTCGAATACAATCACCACGATGGCCAGTATCACTGCTACCACCGATGATACATCATCTCCAGCGACCAGCAGTTACAATGGCATTAATTGTAGCATCTCTCCAGAAAGTGGAACAACCCTTGATGCATTCACAATAACTTGCCATACTGAAATGCCTTGCTCTAACTGTCAGTATTGTTTTAAGACCCAAGATGGTAAGTAATCTGGTTCGGGTAAAGGGATTCATCTACATAGAACATTTTCCAATATGATTATGGAATTAATTATTTGATGGTTTGAATTTTGTCAGGGAAGCATCTGCGTTGTGCAAAGAACAATGAGGTGAAGTCTGTCTTTCTTCCCCCTGGAGACAGGACATCCAACTACACCCTAATCATCAAAGCAACTGCAAAAAATAGCAGCTTTGTTGCCAGTACCAACATAACTACAAAGGTAAGTACTGAGTAATGCTGCTGAATTCAGGCAGCATAAGAAGGTACATTCTGAACGGCATGAAGAAAAACTCTGGAAATCAGTCACCATTGTGATGCATTGTTAAAAAATCAGAGCTATCTATCAATATTCTATTGCAGATAACTAAATGTTTAAAACTCTCGATAATCACTTTTGAATCACTGTTCATTGAAAAATAGAGAAGAAGCATAAAAAGGAGTTTGAAAAAGGTTTATTTTTGGAATTTTTATGCATTCATTTACAGATAGGAACAGGACAGTGATAGAGCAGAACATTTTGAGAGAGGGTGAGGAATGACATGTGGAAAAGGAGCCTCTGGTCGGATTTGAAACCGGGTTGCCCGCTTAAAGACTATAGCCTCCTGAATAGGCCGTGCACACTAACCACCTTGCTCTTCTTTTTCTTTTTCTTTTTTTTCTTTTTTTTTTACGAACTTCCTAACAGTTTATTCTCAAACTATATATCAAACATGTCTAATGTAAATATGTAATACTGGAGTTGACTTCCTAAAAAGAGAGTGGAGCCAAACTCCCTTTGGATTTGTTGTTCTTAGCTCTGTGTTCACATGGACAGGACAGAGCTTTCTTCAGCTTGTTTATGTTTGCTCGGAGGCTCAAAGTTGTTTCATTCATGTTTTTTCAACTCAACTCCTCCCTCTCCAATCGTGAGCCCTGGTGCCACATCGGGGAACAGAGAAGGTCCCAACCACTCAGGAAAATTGTGTCTAAGGTCATAATAACGGAGAGTCATCACAAAATTCAGCTGTAGGAAAAATAAGAGATTATCCAACCAAAGAATAGATTTTATGTGGCCTAAATAAGCAAAACATGTAACATTTAATCAACTTTAAGATGCATATCATTACTTGAAATTGATCGCAGAAACTTGTTTAAAAAATTTTTTTAGTAAGCATTTGCTGCAGACTCTGCCTTACAGAACCCTGGCTGGGGAAGTGTGGGGACAGGAGGGGAGAAGGGAGCTGAGGGATGAAGGAGGTGTGTCTGAAGGGAGAATTAGTTTTATTCAGAAAATCTGTCCTCAAAGTTGCATAATTAGCTGTTAATATCCAACTTTAATTGAGCCACAAAGGATAAAAAACAAGGGTTTAAATATCATCACTTTGGAACGCATTGCAGGCTACTATACACAAAAGCAATATTCTCTGTCAGCATCAGCTGATTCTGTGCTCCTGTCTATGAAAATTATTTCCTCCTTGCCCCTCAAGGATCTCCCTGAATCCATGTAGATGCAGCTTAAAAAACGGGTCTTTGAATGGAAATAGTCCTATCTTCCTTTACACCACCATAAGTATATTTCTTCTTCTCCTCAGGTGCAGGATTACACACCGCCCTCTGGCTCTTCTTCAGGAGGTGGTCTTTCAGCAACAGTGAAGAATGTTGTTGATCAGCTAAAGAAACAAGGTCAACTAACTGGAGAGACTGTGGGACAGATCTTCAATTCTGTAGCCAACCAAATGAACAGTCAATCTGATGAATCAAACAAAGCTGAGAGGCAAGAGGTAAAAAAAAAACAGTATTTGACAGTAAATGTGGAGATGTATAAAAAAAATGTCTGTACATTGGTTTTGATTGATCAAAGAAAATACAAAAATGTTGGAACATGAATTTCTTAAACACTTAAATTGGTGACTAAAGGACTATAAACAGATGACAAATACCGCAGATTAACGACTAACTGCAGCAAAATGTGATCATGGGTTTAATTAGAGCTTCAACACACACACAGAGGTCAGAACTGAAATACTCCATGTGTATAAGATGTACTGCAATTACTCCTTTAAGCCTTAACACCTCATATGCACAACAGCGTAGAGCAGTGGAAGTGTTAGGGCGCAGTCACACTGGCAATCCGTACCACTACTATTACTAAATGTGTATGTGTGAATGTGTTTGTCTCTGTAAGCTTCGTGAAAAGATGCTGGCCACAATGACTGCCACAGTAAAAGAAGCTTCATCCAAACATCCAGAAGAGGTTCAGGTGCTGGCCAGAGGACTTACTGCTGTCAGCCAGAAAGGCTCTGAACTCAGCTCCTCTGCTAAGGTAGTACACAGTGAGAGCCTCACACAAATTATAGAAAGAAGGGGTCAATTATTCATATTTGTAGTAAACTGGTGAGAGTTTTCATTAAGTTTTGAAGTACAAAAAGCACAATAGTTGAGACTTGTACATATAGTGTGTGATTCATCCTTGATAACTGCTGGTATAGCTTCTCATGACCTCACACACTTATGGAAACGCCCACCTGGCAGGCAAGAAAGGCCTTTTGCTGCTGCATGCTTCAGGGAAGTTATCAGTCAAGCAAGAAAACCCTGAGATGAGGAAATTGATGCTGATAGATACTCTGCTGTCTCTTGTACAAAAGAACAGACTTCTCCTAACCCTGCCCCCAAAAAATAGTGTCTTAAATTGTTCAATTTTTTTCTGCCTTTAACTGCCCCAGAACACTGACTGAAAGTGACAGCTGACAGTGATCGTGATACTATTGTTGGGGTTTTATCTAGTCAACTTTGGTTATATTCTTTAATAATTATATTTAATTATTATTAATATAAATAACAATATCATTAAACTATGTTTAATCAACTCGGGGGCACCACCCTGAAATCAGGGAAATATAACCAAAATATCACTAAAATCTTTCTCAAATGAGTTACTTAATTACTAATATTATTAATAGTTAATAACTATATTTAATAAATTGAAGGCGTGACATCAGTACACAAAGCCCTCGCACCCAGCTTATATCACAATGCAAATACACCAGTAATCACAAACAACTGCTCTCTTAAATTATAAAATAATTTATTTAAACAAAGCAACATCAATCCAAGATCAATGAACTTAATCAAACAAATAACTATTATAAACTAATCTAAGCAAACAAACGTTATCAAACAAGGCTTGTGGAAGAGGAGTCAGAGTGTAGATGTGTGTGTGTGTCTGTGGATGAAAGAGAGAAAGAGAGGGGGGAAGAAGGCGTCGTACTCACATGGTCGCCCTTAAGATGGCGCGCAAAGACCTGGCGTGGTCTATTGTCTAAAGAGGACAATCTGTGTTTCTGAGGCGTTTGAATGGCAACGAGTGTAAAGTTCTCTATGTGTGAGTGTGTAGCCTATGTGTGTACTGGCGCGGTGGTGGAGTTAGTCTCCAGATGTGCGTCTACATGGGAAGGCGTGTGTGTATGTGTGTGTGTGGGTATGGGTGTCTGTGTGCGTTAGTTAGAGAAGGAGAAAATATGGAAAGAAAGGCGTGTCAGTCTAAATCCCGTGCCACAACTCGGAGTAATTCCCTTCATTCACAGAAAGAAACCAAAGGCCCAGGTTCAAGTTAAGACGGTATATACACGGGCCTTTCTGATCAGAAGAGTAATCCCCGGTTATAATGCTGTTACGCTAAACACATATAGGACGCAGCGGTCCGAAACGGGAACAACAAGAGTTTTAAACAGGCAAAACTCGGGACGCTGTGGTCCAACAAAGAGAAAAATTACAGTTTTCACATCAATCAAACAATTTTTAAACACACTCTAAAGCTAATTCTGCCCAGACCTAATTAAGCCTCACTTGTGAATCGCTTAGCCCGCGATCGGTGAAGGGAAAGGGGGTCCAGTGATGGAACAGATCTTCTGTCTGTTCTGGTGCAGAGGCGTTTGATGGCGGTGAGGGTCCCTTATGTCAAGAGCAGCTTCGATGTGTTCTCCATCGAGTGGGAAGACGTCCGCTGATGTCCTTAAGTTGCAGGACGGAATAAGACCCTTATCTTTCAGATAATCTGCTATAGTCTGACGCTCTCTGAGAAACTGAGATGCGTTCACTGGACAATCCGAGCTCGGAATTCAGAACACTGCCCATGCCGAAACTTAAAACAAAAGAAGAGTTCTGCAAAAACAGGAGGTAAACTTGTATCTCCGAACACTTGAAGTCAGCGTGTGGAAAGAGAGAGAACAATGGAAGTCTTGGAGTTTTGTAGCCTGGCCTGCTTCATGGGGGGTCTACCTTAGGTCCCCTCCAATGAGAAGAGAGGGGTTCAGGTCCCCCTTTTTCTTCACGCGTAGGTGTGAAGTATTACAGGGGATTCTGGGAGTAGGAGTCCTTTAGGTCTCTTTGTGATCCCAGTGAATAACTCAAATGAGGCTTCTCAAAGAGATGCAGGCCCAAGTTCATTGTTTGCCTGTCTTAAGCCTGGATGGCCCAACACTATCATTAGCAAATGTTAAATAGTAAGTGTCAGCATTATTCCCTGAGACACATCAGAAATACATTAAGCTGCTTGTACTTTTGTAGACTTTCATCTTACAGTGGTGTAAGGATTCTCCTCTTAGTATTAGCAAACATTACTGCAGTGACGATCTGATGTTAAGATTTAAAGAGTGACCACTAGAGTGACCACTAGCGACTTTCAGACAAATAAGACATAAGGAATACCTCTTTGTTCAGTTTAAGACGTGTTTTAAATGAAAAGCCAAACAGAGAGGCAAGAAACTTCTAGTCTGACAACCACAGACACATTTGGTTGAAAGCATAGATTGTATACAGTTAACATGGTAACTCTTAAAGGCAAGTACGTTGTTGTTTCTAGCAATTGAAACAGTGTCTTGTGTGCTATATAAGGTTTCCAAGTGCCCAAAACTTGCCATTTATCTTATTATCTCTGTTTTTCTGTGGTTATCAGGTGATGTAAACATGTGATTTTGAAGAGAAAAAATCTAAAAAGCACATGCTTCATGTTCAACAGTGTTTTCAAAGGTGGCTGCTACTTTGAAGCAGGCTAGACAGAAGACTGAAAGCTATGAATAACACTTCCCGATATATGTATGTGATTGTGAGACTTAATCTACACCTCCAGGTTGAGGCTTCGTTACTGTTTGCTGAGCTAAGCTCTTCTCTCCTCCACATGGACTTGAGCAAAACTGAAGAAAACAAAAAGGAAATACACGATGCAGCAAGCACCATTGTGGAAGGTGCTGGAAATATCCTACACTTTTCTTCCAATGTGAGTATTTCACCTCAAAGTTCATGCTGATGGGATTTACTTCTTTGGAGAAGCATTGGTAAATGATCAATTGACTTGGACTTGTATAGCACTTTTCCAGTCTTCTCAAAAATTCAAAGCTGCTTTTATACTACACTTCCCATTCATCCATTCAACGATATTCACATACTGATGGCAGAGGCTGCTATGCAAAGTGCCCACCAGTATTAACTAATCCCATTCTTTTGCATTCACACAACGCTGACTCGAGCAATTCAGCGTGCAGTGTCTTTCCCATGAAGGGACACATATGGCTGTAGGAGCTGGGGATCGAAACTTCATTGAGCCACAGGCACCATAATCACCTGTAGGGGATTAAATATTTCACTTGCTGATCAATGACTGTAAACTGCAATTTCGCCCAACCCAGGATTATTAAGAGTCCTCAAACTCAGTGTTTCAGAATACCTAATTGGCCATCTTATTTGGTCACATTAGGACAGGCACTTTATAGTTTACACTTTCTCGTTTATATATGTTTCTTCATTTTAAAGTGAGATGTTGAAGTACTACTTTGGAACTGAACCCCAAGTTCACCCCACTGCTGCATCAGCGGTGTATGAATGTGTGTGGATAAATTAATACTGATGGCCACATTAAATAGCAGCCTCGACCATCAGTATGTGAATGGGTTATCAGGAGACTAGAAAAGCGCTATACAAGCTCAAATCCATTTACTATTACAATAGTTATGATTGATTGTTATGACTTTGTATGAATTCATGCATCAGATTCAGGAGGACATTATTTTGCGGAATGCTAAGGTCCATGGTGAAAAAGATGGACTGAAGCTTACTGATTTATTTTTTTGTTTTTAATTTCACAAGCAAACCATATTGGCATTGGAAATGAGGGAAACCTCATTGTCCTTTTGAGAATAAATAAAGGTTTGAATTGAAATATTCCTGTGGAAAAATGTTAAATCTTACCATCCACATGGGCTAAAATGTCATCAGGGGTTTAAGTTGAGTCAATGAGTTTAGTGAGCAGAAACATGGTCAGTGATACACCAGTCTTCTCTTGTTTTAATGGCAATGACATTCTCAAGAAGAAGTAAGTAAAGGAAGTTCGTAAAGATCCTCTCTTATCACACACTAAATTACTTGTGTTATCATTTGCAGAAAAACACATCTGATGCCCTTCTACTTGCTTTGGAGAATACACAGAGTGCACTGTTAGCATTGAAAGATCTGAATGAAGGGCCAACCATTATCCAAGATGATCACATTAGTGTGTTTGTTGACAGGTAAGTCTCAGCAAACAGCTTTGACAAACATTGACCGAAAGCTTTGTTTCATAAGTTGACTAAGAGTTGGATGAGACACTTGGCAAACCAAGGCTTACTTTGTATGCCTTTTTATAGTCTTCAGGCTAGCTAAGATAATCTATTGGCTACATTGTATAGTAACTGGACAGATATTACCGTAGTATTGAGATTCTCATTGGACTCTTTGCAAAAACATGAAAGCTGAGGGTATACTGGGATAAAAGGTTATGGAAATGTAACTGTTTGACAAAAACCTGCCTATGTACAGCTTATATTTTTTAACTCACATTTAGCATTTTAGTTTGTTTGTATGTTCAGCCATTTTTTATATTCTAGTAAAAACCTGTCTAACACATAAAAATCCCTTTATATCTTTTTCCTCAGAGTGACAGCAGGACGTTTGCACAGAGAGCGCATAAATATTCCCAACTGTTCTTGCAGCTCGTTTCATTTCCCACCTCTCCCCTCCGATATGTTACCCTCAGATGAACCAGTGGATGTTCGAGTAAGTCAGTGGGAGAGCTGATGTGTATGTCTGTGCTATACAGCTTATCCTACATGCAGGCCTTATCAAATCAGAGTCAGCAACTCAGGGATGATGCATGACTTTGAGTTAATTCATTTGACATTTAATTGTCGTTTATTGGTTTATATATTTTCTTTTTTTGCGTTTTCATAAACACCGAATCTTTCTAACGTCTTTTCTTTCCCATAAATATGCGGTCTAGTTTTCACTAAGCTGCAGAGTGAGTGTCACAATACAACACTGTCACTGTGGCAGTTCTTTGTGCACATTGCCACAGCCAAAAACAGCTTGCATTAATTCAAGTCACGAAATAGAAATGGACTCTCAATCTGTGAAACAAATCAGCAGCTTGAAAGTAACTGATGTATGCATGCCTTTTCCCTAATATGTGTTCCTTAATTTCACTAGGTGTCACTTTCGCTAATGAGGTTAAACTCCTTTCATGCTCCTAAACTTTATTTACAGATGCTGAGTTTAGATAAAAACCCATTTTCCTGGAATGAGAGGGGGAACATCAGTGGCTTAATAGGCACTTTATCCCTCACAACAACAGATGGATCCAAAATCCCCATGGAGAGCCTGAGTGATGACATTGAGGTCAGTGCACCTTCTGAGAAATGTTCTATACTGTGCTCTCCTGTAGAGAGAGCGTGTTCTCTTCAGGGATGATCTAAAGTCTAAAAGAAAAACAGACTTCAGGCTAACAAGACATTGAGGGAGCTCCAAGGAAAATTCTGTCAAATCGAATATGGCACAAATCTATTGTGAACGCTTAATTTCTGTTAATTGAATTAAGCACTTAAGTGATTTTTAATGTGAAACTTGAAGTAGGCCAAACTAATTTGTTCAAGGCTGCGTTAATATTTAAGTAAAATGAATGCTACATGGAGTGGGTTTGGTGCATGTGTTTCACAACTCTGCATGTTTCTACAAACTGCATGAGTGGTTTGTTAGGGCACAAGTTGTCAAGGATTTAATCCCAAGGGTTTTTGTTATTTTGTTCATTAAATGAGCACAAATCTTTAGGCTTTACCATGTTCAAAAAGTCATGAAGCTTGGCAGGTGCATCAGGCCCAGTGAAAAACTTTGTTGGTCTCAGATATGTTGTTACTCTCTCAGGAAGAGCCCATGATCTGTTGAAAATATCCACATCAAGGGCGCAGATGGCCAAGGGGTTAGGTCGTGCCCAATTTTACCTGAGTCTATAGTCCTCCAAAGGGGCAGCCAAGGTTCAGGTCCAACCTCTGGCTCCTTTCCCACATGTCATTCCCCACTCTCTCCTGATTTCCCACTCTATTCACTGGGCTATCAAACAAAAGGCAAGAGACATTTTTTTCGAAAAGTTATTGGTAAAACTCTAAGGGTGTGGTGACTCATCAAACTTTTATGCCTAAAGAACTGTGAACTTATTCCAGTCGTCCATTTTGGATACATTTTTTTCTGGGTTCATCTGATCAAACAATTGTACAGTCAAGAGAGATCATAAAATAGGAAATTTACTTTTATTCATTCCTTGAAGCTTCTTCCTTGCTTTAAATGTTTAAAAAAAAGACTGAGGAGATGGTGTTCAATCCCAGGAGCCTAGGTGAACATCAGCTTGAGAACATTTAGAATGAGACAATCACAAAGGTCTGCTTGTACAAGTACCCTCAAGGTTCATATTGACGACACACTCAGCTGGAGGACCAATGATGAGAATGTCTCCTCTAGACTGCAACAGTGTGATTACTGATTGAAAGTCTATGGAGTTCAGCATGAATTCATGTTTCTGTTTACACTGCTGTTTTTGAAAGCATTGCTGGATATGAAAAAGCAGCCAGGTATGGTCACTTGTCTGTTCAGCTGAAATCACCGATAATTTGTCTTGTGCAGGCTGCTTTGAAAACCATCAGAGTCAATAAAAACACCCTTTACTACTGGATACATGAGCACGTTATGTGTATTTATTAAAGAAATTATAATAATAAGGGGAAAACCTCAAATCTACAATTTAATCATTTTTAAGAATACTAATAGAAAGCATATACTGATCTCAAAATGATATTGAACAGAAGTTTTATTTTTTCCTCTAATATTGTCCATGTGTATTATGATAGGAGACATTATGAATTTCAATGACACTAGACCATTTTTCTTTTGCAGCTTTTATTCTGAAAATTGACTTGTAGAATAGAAAAGAAATCCTTTCGAGGAACACAAATTAATACGAGTCTACACTGTAGTTAAATGATGGTGAAATACCAAACTTCTCAATCATGCATATCTCATGTACTACCTCAAGAAATTACTTACAGAAAAAGCTAATTGTGTTATGTAAGGTGAATTAATAGTAGTACAATATTGGAAGTGAGCCTCAAAATATCTATCTTTGAGTGGATATGTTTTATTAGATTACAATCTACTCATAGAAAAGAAAAATAGTCTTAATTCGCATTGAACAAGAATGTTATATTTCAATATTTGTTTTGTTTTTCCCATTTTGTCACAGATTTATTTGCCAAGGCCTGTTGGAGAGCAGGTCAACACGTCTGTTTTGGACCTTGGGAACTACAGCACAACGGTCATAAATGTTCCTTCAGCCAACAACACACTGGTGTTAAAGGTCCAGTGAGATGTTTTAATCAACAAGCACTACAAGGCCAAGTCCTGATCACTTACATCACATATTTCTTATCAGTTGTAGTTTACTTTAACAAGGACAGTTATTTCAACTTCAAAACACTGACAGCCTCATAAAAACATCCAACTGTATCCAATTATTTTGCTAATTAAGTTATTTGTTTTTCAGTATTAGTACATTTAAGCAGCTATATTTAGAAAGTATAGTGCCAAAACAACTAGAATACAATCATTATTGTGCTCCGTTTAAACCAGTGTTACCCAATGGTGGCCGCGGATCCTATAGGAGGGGCCCGGAGTTATGATGAGAGAACCCAATAAGGCTTAACAAAAACAATGCACACAATTTTTCACTGCTAGCAAAGCATGACAAATGATGTGGGAGGACTTCCAGGCAAATGTAAGGCTGAAAATGAATCAAAACCTAACGTCTAAACTTTGGAAGTTACATGTTACAGTAATACTTTTAACAGCCACCTCTTTAAAAGTTGGTTGTTTGTTTTATCGTTTTTTTTTGTCACACACTGTCGTTGCTTTTCTAGACTTTTTACAGCCTAAGAAAAATTCTTAAAATATAGGAATTTGTTAGCAATTAGCGAGTCTGACAGTGTGTTTAATGTTGATAAAGGTTGATGTGATATGGTGAAGGATGCATGGGCTTGAAAATATTTTCATCTGCCATGGAGGGGCCCGGCAGAGCAACGTTTGGGAACCAATGGTTTAAACCATGATTCTTGTCTTTTGTTTCTCTTGGTATAAGAATTTTACTGCTATTTGTTGTTTTTAAAGATGGTGCCTTCAAAAGATCCTTTACCCTTCAAAGTTCTCCTCGGCTATAAAGACTACCCCACTGAAACAAATCATGTTGCAATGACAGAGATGCCTCTACAGGGAACAACGCTAGGTAATAAATCTCATAGTGGTGAATTAGGTATGTTGTAACTTAATGCCATTACATTATAATTATTTTTTTTAACATTTAAGAGTACCTTTCTGTGTGCGTTCTACAGAGGAGAAATACACTTGGCTTCTTGACCCAGTGACTTTAAAAGGAAACACCGGAGAGCACTATCTCGTTGTGAGGCCCATTGTAGGTCCAGGTATAAAATCCATCGATGCCAGTTTATCCATTACACCCATCACTAGCTCATGCAAATTTTGGGACGAGTCAAAATTGGATTGGAGCAATTTTGGATGCAGGGTAAGTGCATCAATTAAATCAATATAGCCTGTCATATGTTGCCAAAGCTTTATTAACAGGTGTTGTTGTTGTCTTCAAAGGTAGGTGTTAATAGCACGCATTTAGTCACCCAGTGCCTCTGCAACCACCTCACCTTCTTCGGGAGCTCTTTTTTCGTCACTCCGAACCTTGTGGACCCGTCTCGCACTGCTGAGCTGTTTGCGACTTTTGGAGAGAATCCTGTGGTCGTCTGTTTCGTCGGGGCGCTGTTTGTGGCATATTTATTGGCTGTTGTATGGGCACGACGAAAAGACATTCAAGACACGGTGAAGGTATGGTTTATCTCTTACAATCAAGTTTATTCAGACATTAAGTAATCACACCATAAAAACGTGCTTTATACTGTTTGATCGTTGCCAGGTTACTGTGACTGTGCTGGAGGACAATGATCCGATGGACGAGTACCGCTACCTGGTGAGTGTGAGCACTGGGCATCGCAGAGGAGCATCCACTTCCTCTCAGGTAAATACATTTACATTAACAAGCATGAAAAATTTGTCACCAGTGTTGGAACGCCAGAAGCTTAGTGGTTAATGTGTGTGCAACCCATGTACAGAGGTCATAGTCTTCCAAACAGGCAGCCCAAGTTCAAATCCAACCTGTGGCATCTTTTTTGACATTTCATTCCCCACGCTCTCTCTCTTGATTTCTGACTCTCTCCACTGTGCTATCTCTAAAGTTAAAAGTAAAAAAAATAAAATCATCAACAATGTTTAAAAAACAATTACTTGATATGTCACGGTGGTTGAGAGATCTGCAGGAATGAATTATGTATGAATGATCAAATCAGTTGAAGTGCAGTCTTCTTGATTTGCCTTAAGATCCTGAAATTATATTGTTTGTAGCAGAATCATATTTCAAACCCACGTTGATAGTGTCCTCATTTTCTTAAGTGTCCATCGACTTGTCAGCCTGAGATAATATCACAAACATTATTATTTAACTGTTTGGAAAATGTTTATTATTTTTGGCATTTTTAAAATTGAGTAATAACTGACCCCCCTTTCGAGGACCATCACACAGAGTCTCTTTAATGAGGCAGATGACATTTCATGAATGAAATAGTAATTGTAAGTCATCAATTCTGCCATTTCTGATTTAAATGTGGTGGATAGCCAAAGGTGACTGTTGCAACACTGATGTTCTAGGTTTGGTTATAACTCAAAATTGAAGCCTCTCTTTTTGTAGATTTAGTGTTCATCCCTTGCCCACACTCTAGGAGGGGTATGGGTGGCTGTGGATCAGTGGTTGAGCCGTTTGTTTCTCAACCAGAAGGTCAAGGGTTCAATCCCCAGCTCCTGCAGCCACATGTCGGATACTGCTCATCGGCAGCGTATGAATGGGATTAGTTAATACTGATGGCCACTTTACATAGCACTATACAAGCTGAAGTCCAGTTACAATTCATCATTAACCCTAACCCTACTTCATCCTTCAAAAACAGATTCTTCCATTTTAATGACAGACATGTGAACTGTTCTAGGTGGCAATAACTCTCGTTGGTGTGGAGGGAATCAATGAACCACATCATCTGACCGACCGAAAGAAATGTGTGTTTGAGAGGGGTGCGGTGGATATGTTTTTGCTCACTGCTCCTTTTTCATTGGGAGACCTGCAAAGCATCAGACTGTGGCACAACAACTCAGGGAGCCATCCTGCTTGGTAGGTTAAAGCTCTTGTTGGGGTTATTTTAAACTGGTGATGAAACAGACAGAAAGTAATACTGATTCTCTCTTTAAGTCTTATGAAAGCAAAGAATACTTTCAGAGAGGAGAAGGATTATTTCTATACAAGTAGTCTTTTTATATTCATGTCACTCCTACTTCAGGTCAGGTGTCAGAAAAGATTATTAACACCATTCTGCCTGAACAGCCTTTTCTAATTGTGTTCACACAAACGATTCAGTGAGTTTCATGTTGACTTTTGAAGATAGCGTCAGTATTTCCTAAGAAATTAAATATAGACAAAAGTAATACAGCTAAATCATTACTTATGGGCCTCCATACATGTGTGGTAGTGACTGTGTCTGCAGAGACCCTGTCCTCTGACTGGATTTTGATATTTTGCTCTACTTTGTTTCGGTTGACTCGGGACATTTCTGGGTGGGGAACTGGTGTGTTTCCCCCAGCTAATGACACAATTAATATGACGCGATTCAAACTGGTGAATATGACGATGATGGATGTGACGGCAAAGCATAGAAACTATGATGATGAGGCGAAAACACCGCTCGTATAAAGCTCGTACCAAAATGAGGCTGAACTTTCAGTTGGCTTTCACCCACTGACGGTGAGTTGGCCTGCTTTCTGTTGGCCCAAAAACTGGTGGTCAGCTTGCAGTGTAGGTAAAGGCAGTAAACAAACGTCATCCTGCAGTCAGTGAGGGCTGTGGGTGCAATGAGGAAGGGCCCAGTTTGAATGTTGTGTTACCAAGCTGCAACGAACAAAGATACTGACTCTACGTTTAACATAAAGAAAAGTCAAAGACTAAATCAATAAATACAGTGAAAAAAATCAGCAAAGACAAAATTGTCCCATCATCGTCAACAAAATCTCCACATTTCAATGTTCCTCATATTAGCTTTAATAAAAAATTTGATGTTTTTTCTACCTGATTAAAATCTGACCTAGAACACTGAACATTGATCACAATGTGAGCACAGCATGTCTTCTCTCATCATTAAATTAGCATTACTGACGATAACTCGCTGTTCTTTTCAAAAGAGATTAACAAAGGGATTCGATTCAGGTGTTGTTTCATTGCATCTAAAGACTGAGAAGATATTTTTAATATAATGCATTTGTTGTACAATCTCTATCACTTTATGACTTTGTCTGTCAGGTACGTAGGTAATGTCATGGTACAGGATTTACAGACCGAGCAGAGGTGGCATTTTCTTTGCAACTCCTGGCTCGCCATCGACATGGGAGATTGTTTCCTGGATAAAGTTTTCCCCGTTGCCTCCGAGATTGAACTGAAAAGGTTCAGGTAAGGTTATATTTAAAGGTATATTGAGGCAACCTGGTAGCAAAATGTTATTCACACAAACACTGCTGGTATCAAAAGGCTTAGTGTGTCTTTTCAATCGGAATTTGCATGATAAAAGCACAGATTAAATGCAAATGAAATGCAATAGCTGGTTTGGATTTTACCTTAACTACCTGCTCAATTTTTGAAAAAGAGATGTACCAAAAAACTGGCAGGCAGGATGTGTATTCCAATTGAGCTTCCACTTTTATTCACAGGAAGCAAGCATAATTTAAAAAAATCAAACCAACACATTCAAGTGTGCAGAGATGAGAAAGAAATGTGTAAAAAAACAAAACAAAGGGGCATTACTTACAACAAACAACTCTTACCTGCCTTTAATTAGTTCTATGTATTTCAACTTCATTTTTAGAATTCATGACTGCTGATGAAAAGAGTGAAGTAGTAGTGAAGTAACCCTTAAGGCAATTATTGTTGCATCACTAAAGGTGACTGGTTGTGGAATCATGCACTCAAGAATTAGCAAAAGGTTACGTTGAAGGTTTAGCAGAAATAAAAATGACTGATAGAAATCAAATATTGGGATAATATTCAATTTGTAATAGGTTGTCCATGAGAGTTGTATTTCTTATTTGATTTCACAGTGCTATTTCCTTTTGTCTGTTTTATTTTCTACAGTAATTTGTTCTTCATGAAGACAACAAAGGACTTTAGCGATGGACACCTCTGGTACTCTGTGATCAGTCGACCACCAAGCAGCACTTTCACTTGTGTCCAGAGAGTTTCTTGCTGTTTCTCCCTGCTGCTCTGTACCATGCTGACCAGCCTCATGTTTTATGGCATCCCAACAGACCCCTCTGAGCAGACATTGGACCTGGGTAAAACACAGTTCCATTAAGAATAAGTAAAATGATCTCAGTTGGGTTCTAAGGCACAGTCCTATTCTGCACCCTTAAGATATGGGAACGCACCAGCTTTGCTCCTGAACACACTTCACTCGAAGAGACCCCTGGGCGTTAACAACTAGCATGAATTAACTTGTTGTTTAATATACTGTATGTGGACGCTGGGCTTTAAAATGACAACTGCGTCAGGTACGATACAATACACTTAATTGCCTCCTTGGGGGAATTTGTCTTGGACTCAAAGGGCTGAAAACATTCAGCTGCCTCCACAATAGAATCAATAAATAAAAACAATACAAACACAATCCATATGTAAACAGAAGAGCACATACCAATGCAAAAAAAATACACTTAAACATATATTGCACATTACCCATATTGCACAAGATCTGAATAAACATGGCCTAAGAGAAAAGATAAAAAATGTAAGAACATATAAAACCATAGGAACACTATGACACTATTTTACAGCCCATACAGCCTTAACAAACATTATTCAGAATTTTGATCGTCGTGGTTACGATGCTCAATTGTAATCAGTGTATGCTCTCTAACTTTCCCTCTCGCTAACTCACATGTTTTTTTTCTTTGCTTTTTATCCGTGTGCATTCATGTGTAACAAAAACAAATTAGAATATCTCTTCATTACTCCAATTCTCCAGTTGTGGGTTTCCCAGAGTTCAAGAACAGACAAAGGGAAATAGCTCTTCAATATTATGACCCTTTTTCCTGGAAAAGCATTGAAGGACCCGAGAGTTTACTATCAAAGGAAAAATGGAGGTTTCTTTGGTATCTTTGAAAGTTCATGTGCACATCCTGTACAATCTTCTCTCTCTTCCTCTTTTTCTAGGCCACTTTGAGTTTACCTGGCAACAGTTCATGATTGGAGTTCAGAGTTCCCTCATCATGTTTCCAGTGAATATCCTCATTGTCAGCATCTTCAGAAGCACACGTCCTCGGGAAACATCTTGTTGCTGGCGTAAAGCTGTAAAACCAGCTGCTCTTGAACGGCTTTCTTTCTCCCAGAGTGTCCCCACCAATGTGAACGTCACCTTTGACGCTGTGATCAAGGTAAGCACTTCATGTCTTTCAAGTGCTGTGCAGCTTTTTGAAACACACTCTCAATGTACTATGACACATGTTCAACTCAATGTATTGAAACTCAGAGCTGGGCACGCGTCTCTTCATCTGTTGTTTTTATTCATCTTTAACGTAGACATTCATTTGGAAAATGATTAACGGAACATTTCACTTTTTAATTTTTTTATTTTATTGCACAAAAAAAACACATTAAAGAACAATAATAAGCAGTATATAAAGATTAGGCTGTAAAAACAAACTTAACTTCAGAAATAAATGTGCAGGAGAAGCCAAAGAAACCCAGAGGGGCTTGTCGAGTGGCCCTCCTTATTCAACATGTAAAAAAACAGAAACACTTAAAGCAGTCCAAGCAAAAACAATATAGCTAAACAGATAAAACAGACTTAATAAGGTGTTAATACAAAGAAGAAAAAGGAATAATAAGATGAAATAATGAGGAAAAAAATACCCATAGTGAAATTAATAATTATCGTGAGATTTCTGCCACAGACACATTTGTTTTTAAGAGTTTTCTGAGTCATTGTGGCTTCTGAAGAACTCCAATCTATCTTTTTAATGATAGCGGTGAACATTAATTCTAACTTCTGTTAAATATTAACACAATGAACTGATATGGAAGTCAATGTAGATAATTTTTTATGCCCACCTCTGTTGCTAATCTTAAATTCAAACAGTTTGTTAGAATGTCATATGTTGAATATTGTATATGTGTTGAAAAAAAACACTGTAATATTAAACCTTTCATTCTCAGGATGTTTCAAGAATTGCACTTTCACTGTCTAAGACAGTAAAAAGCAACATGCCATGCAAAGAGCCTGAGATTGGGCCTGGGCAACAAGTTGATTTAAATGCTGTCCTTTCTGTGGTGGACGATTTCATCAAACAGAACAACAAAACCAGTGATGACACCCAATCCAAAAAACTGAACATCAACAATCTCAACCAGCCTCAGTCAACAGGTTTGTAAGCTTTGAGAAGAGGAGAGGAACATTGAATTCAACTATGTCTTGATAAGGTTAAGTGCTCCTATGTGAGGTTGACATGTTAAAGAGCTGAAGCACTATAACCTTTCCAAGCAAACAACGGCTCTACTTTTCTCTCAGAATTCCTACAGCAGTCTTACAGAGTTTGACCTTCACACTGAGGGGCTTTTGTCCACATTTTAGTAATTTTAGTTATTCTGTTCACTTTAGCTCCACTAAAAATATATATCACCTGTATTGCTAAAATGAATGACATATTTTGTAAGATAATTTGTCCAAGAAAAATTGTGAAAAATACCAAAGATGTCTGAATCTGGTGAATTCGTTGTGATTAATTTTATTTTCTCATGTAATTATGAAGAAAGACCAAGACATGTTTTTATTAAATAAGAAGCTTAAAAGTAAAGGACACAATGACAAACGGAGGCAATCACAGACTCAGAGGTAGTGTTCAAAAGACAGTCCTTTAATCCAGGCAGGGGTTCGCTACACAGGTCGACAGATAAACAACAAATCAAGAGGGTCAAGCAAAAAGGGTCAAAAGAGTAGGTGAGAGTCATTCACGAAGAGCTAAATACTAATTGCTGGGACGAAGGTACACTGGGAGACACAACGTACTGGCAACAAGACAATCAGGGAACAATGAGACACAGGTGAGGGTAATCAGGGCAGGGCTGACTCACAAGGCAGGAACATGAGGAGCAGGATCAGAGACAAGGGTGAATACAAAAACACAACATAAACCAGGAAATAAATAATAAAATTAGCAATAAACACAAACACATGACCTAATGCTTGTTGTAACCCTTGTCAGTAGAGCTGTCAAATTATAGAAAATGTAATCACAATTAATCACATAATTTCAATAGATGATTGCAAATAATCCAATATTTAATTGCATCATTTGAATTCTGTTTTTTCACATTTCAAAATAGAAATTATAATTGTGACACTTACAGTGTAACCACGGAAAAAGGAACTAAATGAAAACAGCTAAAAGAAACAGTGAAACATTGAAATGCTTGATGTCATGAGGATATTACTTCTGACTCGTCACTCTGTCTGAGAGTGAAATGAGCCGGTCAAAGACGCAGCAGTTTTGTTCTTTTCCATCACTGTGACTACAGGGAGACGCTGAGGAGGCTTATCCACTGTGTACCTAAAAGGGACAAAAAAAAAAAATATTAAAGCAATTAATTGTGATTAAAGAAATGAATGCATACATTTCAGAGCTTAGTTCATCACTATTAACTATTGAATACTGACCGCCCTGCTTAAAGTATATGAAGTATATGAGAGGTTAACAAATTCACTTACCAGGATAAAACTTTATTGTGCAAAGCTGATTTTAGAGCTTTTGTGTCTCTGTTGATAAAGTCAATGGAAAGACCCAATCAGACTCCAATTCAACCAGGGTTGCTAAAATATAATGATGCAGATACAAGTGAAAATGCTCCAAAACTTTGGAACAAATAGTCAAGCAGTCAGATTTTTGAGAATAAATCACAGCAACTATTAGTTTCGCTTGTTTCCTTAAAAAAGTGTACGATTATGCATTCATCATGTATTAACCCTCCTAAAAACTGCCAAATATACAGTCCTATATTTTGTACACTTCCAGAGGGCAATGCTATTGTGCATCCTGTGTCAACCGAGGAGGGGATTCAGAAAAAGAGCAACAAAAGCCAGTATCTGTACCGGCAGCTGTGTCACATTGACAGAGAGCTGACTCTGCTGGGACCCTCTGGCTTCCCCAACCCAAACAGCTACAACCAGGCTCTGCAGCAAGTCAGGGGCATGAAGGGCTCTCTTGAAGATCAGCTCTTCAGAGTCAGCTGTGTGGAGCTATATGAACCCACCCAGAAGAGGTACAAAAGTCACTCATTAGTAACAGCTTTATCTTGCTGTGATAACGGGCTAACACATGCAAATCCACCAATGTCTTAATAACTTTGGAAACTTTGACTTTCAAGTTTGGAAAGTAGATGATTAAAGACATTGTGTTCAAAATGGTCCCTGCCCACAAATGACAACCTTTTGTCATCATGTTAATGAAGTTACATTCTCCAAGAAATTGCTGCTGAACTATATGTGTAACATTCAAAAACATTATAACTTTTCCTTTATAGATTTTAAGTACATTTGATGATTTAGAATCACTGGAAGGCAGAGATATCTATACACTATAGATGAGATCGGTTTGACCCCAGCAGACACGGAGCAAAGAGGATGTGGGTATAAAACACGATCTGTGGGAGGCAAAAAGTACGGGGAATATCATACATTTGGGAAAGAGCGCTGTTGACGTCAACAGCACCTTTCTAAATATATTTTCAACTGGAGCGCTCGGAGCGTCCGCACAAAGAAGAGCGGAGCGGTCTAAGAAAAAGATGCTGGACGTTGTGCTTTTTCTCAGGTTGGCCGCCTTTTGCTGCAAATGCTCTCTACTCATTGAGTACTTTCCCTTTATTTGTCCCCTGTGCAGGCTCAACCCTGCAGACAGCACTGGTGGGGAGGAGAGTCAGAAAAAGAAAAAGGTTTGCTGTCACAGAGGACTACCCTGGTGGTTTATTTTCATCGGTTGGCTGCTTGTGATTGGGACCAGCGTTGTAGCTGGTTATTTCACCATGTTGTATGGATTAAAGTTTGGAAAGGAACGCTCTGTGAGCTGGCTGGTGTCCCAGATAGTCTCCTTTTTTCAGAGTGTCCTGATCATTCAGCCATTAAAGGTCAGAACATGTTGTATTTCATTATATTCAACACAATTTTAACTGTAAAAAAGCTCACTTGGATAGTTAAAACTTCTGTACACTTCCTACTATTGGATGAGAATATGCAAAGTATAAATCTTTATTCTCTAATGTTTGTTTTTTTTAACAATAGGTGGTATGTCTTGCAATCTTCTTTGCAGTTTTAATAAAGAAAGTAGATGAAGAAGATTTTCAAAATATGGCATTTGAAGGTAATGACAGAAACCAGGGTAAGAGCAATTCTTTCACAATACTGTTTCTGGGTCTTAAATGTAGTGTTTACATCAATTTATAAACTGTAACTCTTTGCTCAGGTGATGGTAAGGACCAACAAACAGTCCAACGGGATGGCAGTCTCTATGAGCCTCCTCCTCCTGCAGACATTGAAAAGATGAAAAGGAACCAGATTATGGACCAAAAAGCCTTTGCCCTCATCAAGGAGATTTTGAGTAAGCACTAATGCAGGTTTTGTATGTTTAACAGAAAGGTTTTTCAGGTTCAAGATTATTATATCCACCAGATCAAAAACACTGTGTCATGATTTACTCTTGATTAGTTTGTTTATTTCTTCTTGCGTCATTATTTCCTGTTTAATTTTTGTCAATTGTATACTTGTGTTTCTTGGTTTCCTGTTTCTTTTTTCTATCACATTTTAGAAAAGAGCAATGATGTGGACTCGATTGCAGCAAACAGAAAGTATTTATTTTAGCAAAAAGACAAGGAAAACACTGGAAACACAGAAGACGTATGACCATGGAGAAAATCTGATAAAGAACTGACACAGCAGGGAAGAAACACAGAGGCCCTTTTCGATAAGCCACAGTTCAGTATGGAGTAACGTAAATGGTTTCAAAAGACTGAACCCTTGTGGTCAACCAGTGGGCATTTTTTGGGTCCATCTCTGTAGACTGAACATTTCAGCATGGGTGCTGAACTTCTGCGTTTTGTGCAGCATGGTTTTGATGCATCCTTTCAGGAAATTAGTTGTATTTCAGTACACACAATGCTGTGCGAAATTAAATGAAAAATGTCACTTCATGTGCACCTCCTAATGGGCTAGTGTACTGTCAGATTGTGTAGGCACTTAGAAATTCAGAAGCAACAAGAGACTAAATAGACTCTGGGTAATCAATCGCAGGGTGAGACAAACAGGACACAGGTGAGGACAATGAGGGCAATCAAGACTGGAGGGAAACACACAGAGGCAGGAAGAAACACTATAGACATGATACACATGGGGGGGGACATCTAAAACAGGAAACACTGAAAACTAAACCCAGGATTATGACCAGAAAAATACACAGAAAACAGAGAAACACAAGGGTACAAATGACGAAATAAAACAGGAAATCAAAAGTAAGCAACAACTAAGAATAAACAAACTAAACAGTAAATCATGACAAATTGAAGGAAATGTGCCCAATGAAAAGGTTCATTGGAAAGTTTCTGCTCTATCTACCTGAAACCCAAGTTATATTTCTCAGATTGGCCAGATGTTTTACTCCTGGTCCTGAGCCAAATTTCTACTTTGCTTTAATATGAATTCACTCTGTTGGCATGGTGACTTTGAAGAACTATTATGTGCCCATTTGTTTTCAGTCTACATGGGGTATATGTGGATGCTGCTGTTGGTGGCGTATGGACAGAGGGATCCCAATGCTTTTTTCCTGAACCGGCACATCCGGCATAGCTTCAGCAGAGGGATCACAGACAGTATGAGCCTTGGAGAAGTCTTCACTTGGGCAAACACATCTCTACTAGAGAACCTTTATGGAGTTTATCCAGGTAAAGATGAAACCCTTATGACAGCTAAGTATCGGTTTGTCCATGTGGTTAGAATCTTGATAACCAATGGATTTTGTTTTAAAGCTGCAGATAAATTATGTTCCCTGTATTTGTAGGACGCTTGTTCTGGGGACATCGTGTTCGTTCATTAGCTTGATGCTAACATTGCATCGCAATAACATTAACTTAAATAGAAAACAATCTATTTAAATTCACATACTGTACTTTAAAAAACAACACCATATGCACCACAATAAACAGCCCATGCTCTGATCCTGTGAAACTGTACGATTTGTTCTTAATGTCTCAGTTCTTGGGACATATCCCTCTGCTGCCCTCTCTTGCAAATGTGCAACTTACGAGAGTCTATAGAAGCCTTGGAGGCAAATTTTGCGCACAAGACGGGAAACACGTTAACAATCCGAAACTCCTCAAAAATAGAAAATTTGATTACATATTATACTTTTACTACTACATACTTATGGCCTTGGCCTTTTAAAATCGTACATATATGTTAACCTTAAAATCAGTAAAAAGTGAAGGTCTCGCTCTCTCTTTGTGGGGAGTAGTTTGGCCCCAGCGCCCTCTATGGACCAGCCACCACTCTCCTGATTAGAGACCCACATTCTAGTTCAGTTAAACTTTAATTCACTTCTGCAACAACAACAAAAAACAGGTGTTCTTACTATTATGTATCCTCTTCTTTTTTTTTAGATAGAGCTGGTCTTCTTCAGCATATTCTGTTTTTCACAACTAACAACTGACATTCAAAGTAAAATAGATGTTTTTTTAAAGAACAAAACTGTTGTCTGGTTGAAAAATGTATCAAATACAAGCAATAATGGTTCAAAACATTGGTCAACCCATTTATACTGTTTAAAGCTACCAGTATTGTGCTTCATCTTAAAAAAATGCCATTCTTTGTTAAATTTTGGTCTTTTGGCTTTGAGTGTGTTCTGATAACGAGAACATTGGCAAATAATAAGAGAATCAAGTTCAATCAGAACAAATGGCTAGAGCTGTGAATATTCTAACAGACCACATTATTACAAATAAAAATGGTGAATCCTATGAAAAATATTTTGCCTGACTTAACTAATTTGTGAACTTGTTTAATATGAAAAACAAACTTCAAGACCCCACGCCAAAAACCTAATCACACTCAGCATTGCTGGAGAGAGAGAAAAAAAACATTGTAAAATGCTTTTTTTTTTTAGGATTTATCACAGATGGAAACTCCAAATTGGTGGGTAACGCTCGTCTCCGTCAATTGAGAGTCCAGAAGAACTCCTGTCAGACCGCTGACTCTGTGGTTGGGATTGTACGAGACTGCAATGCTCCATATTCATGGGAGGTGGAGGAGATGGGCTCTTATGACCCTGGCTGGAACTACTCAATTGGGGATAATATCTCTAACAGCCCACTCAGCCCATGGAAATATCAGACCCAGGGTCAGCTAAGGGCTTATCACTTCTGGGGGAACATTGAGTTCTACAGGGGAGGTGGCTTTGTAGCAGAGCTTGGCCCAGATGTTCAAAATGCCAGCAGGTATGTATCTTAGCAAACTGGGCTGCATCGTTGAAACAACCACAGACATGCTTGTCTATCTGGATCGGAATTCGTAGAAGTCCTAAAGTTGATTATTTACACTAAAATATATCCACACAATCAATGTATTGATGTTAATAAAGATGAAATTTGATACAGTTAAATTTGTCTCCAACAAAGACTGGTCAAAATTCAATAATACAATGATACAAAAGGGAAACCAGAATAAAATTATTCTGTGTGCTCCATCTATAGCACCCTTGAGGGTCTGTTCAGAGATAAATGGCTGGATATCTACACAAGGGCAATCTTTGTGGAGTTCACCATCTATAACGCCAATGTGAACCTCTTCTGTATCGTCACACTCTTACTGGAGACCACAGCCGTAGGTAAGATTGTACCCTCGTTGTTAACCTTCATTATTCAGTTAAATCTTTGTCAAAAATGGAGATGTAAATGTAGCTATGGTAAAGAGGATTTTTTATGATTTTATGTAATGTAACCACCCTCTCCTGGAAGTACATGTGAGACCATAATTAAAATATATGGCATCAAAGAATTCCTCTTTAATTTTAGCCTCTAATTGTACCCATTTCTTCACTACTGTACGTTCACAAAAATACACAATACAATGCCCAGTACGTTTTTTTAATCAATGTGTATATTTTGTTTTTTTTAGGAGCATTTCAGTTGTACAGTGAGCTTCAGAGTGTCCGTCTTTACCAATCAACCGGGCCCCTGCACATCTTTGTTATGGCTGCTGAGATCATATACTTGGTTTTCATCCTCTATTATATGTTCCTACAGGTAATATTATTCACACAGAAAGTGGTTAAAGTGCTATTCTTTGCATACATGCCTATTTTAATTCCATTACTTAAGGAGACAAGTAGTGTTTTTTATATTTACTGGGAGTTTGCAAATTGAAACTTACATCATAATAGGCAGACAGGGCTCATTCAAGTGTAAGTCAGTCACATCAACTCTCAACACATTTTTGAAAGAGCATTCTTCATATACAAGATTTTTAATATCCGACCATTTGCTTATTCAACGGAAAAATTCAGTGTTTAAGCTCCTGATACTCATCAAATGTGCTGTTTTTACTTACTAAAAAGTAAAAGCTGTCTCAGAACTGCTATGTAAAGCTATTTTGAGGAACTTTCTGGTTGTGTGGGTTCTGGCGCCTCTGTGGACAAAGTGGTTCTTGGGTCTCTGCTGACCTTATCCTGTAAAGTAGTTTTTAAAAAAAAAATCTGACACTTTATTTAAAATGGCTAACATGCAACTCACAATGAATCCCTGGCATGGAAAAATTCAAAAAGGGTTGTTTCATAATTGTTCAGTTATTCACATCTTATGACACCTACCCCATGGCAATGGTGATATACATATAAAAATAACTAGATATGAAGAATAACTCTTTTCTGTGATGGTCTCGTTTGCTTTTGTAGAAGCATCAGTGTTAATTTCAGTCTGTTTCATTTCCAGTTAAACTCTCCTCATAGGAGCTTTGAGGTTTTTTTATTCATAAAGTATACAAATACAGATACAGACTTCTTTTCAGTGGCACTTGTCCGTTGGTGGTTCAAGCTAGGCACCTAGTGCACGTTTTGTCCTCCAAGATGATGTATTGGAAGCAAAAGAAATGATGTGAGCGACATTGACAAGGACCAAATTTTGATTGCTATACAACTCGGTCAGAGCATTTCCAACTCTGCAGCTCTTGTGGGATGTTGGCAGTGGCCGTGGTCAGCGCCTAGCACAAGGGGTCGAAGGAAGATACCAAGGAACATGCCACTGGGCCATGGGCGGCCAGGGCTCATCAATGCATGACTCGAGCGAAGGCTGGTCCATGTGGTCAAGGCTAAAAAAAAATGCTGGTTCTCATAACAAGATGTCAGAACACAAAGTGCATTTCAGTTTGGTTCATATTGGGCTGTAGGGCCACAGAACTGTCAGGGTGCCCATGCTAACCCCTATCCACTGCCTTAAGTGCCTTAAATTGGCACATTGGCATCAGAAGTCTACGTCTAGTCTAAGTCTAAAGGGCAATAGAACAAGTGACCTGCATATACCCAGCCTCCCTGCTGAGGTTTCAACAGTCCAGTCTCTAGATTTACTTTACAGACACATCAGCTACATAAAGTTGAACAGTAGGCAACCAAGTTTGATGACCTTTAAACTAGTTCAGGCTCACTTTTGTTCTCTGGAAACTGGCAAAATGACTGCTACTGCACTTGCATCCACTTTGATCTGTTTTATTACAGATCATTTATCTGTATTTTGCTATTGACAAGCTGATCAACAGGATGTTTGGATAATATAAGATATACACAAGGGGAAATTCAATTTCATGATGCAGATTTGTTAAAAACTAGAAAACATTCTTGCTTCTTCACCCCCCCCCCACCTCCATAATCACCTTTAGACTACAGAGTTCATGTCTCCTTTAATCCGTCCCTATAATTATCAAAAACATGAAATTGCCCAATGATTATTATCTGATGATGTAACTGAATCTTTTATGTAATTTGTGCTTTTCTTCCATTTTCAGGTCAGAAACACTGTTCCTTCCTCTTTAACACATTTTTAGCTCAGCTCTTAAGATCTCGATCATGGATTTTTCACTTTCTTTAGAGTCATTTTAGTTCATGTCCATGGGTGTTTATTAACTGTCATTTTTGAGACGGTAAGGTTTAATTGTGTGTCCTTCCTTACAGCCCAATTAGGCTGTTTTTGTAGGGATACAGCTTGTCCTGTGTACCTTTTGGTTTTATGTGAACTGAAATGACTGCTTCTTGTTATGTGATGCATTAATTATATTACAGAGTAATAGAGGATATTTTAAGTATTTGTGTACTTGTTAAATTCATCTGGAAGTTACATAAAAGCTTACGGGTTAGGGGTTAGCTGAAAAGGTTAGGTAGGTTTACAGGCATGGTTTCATAGTACTAATGTTATTCCCTTTTATAATTTGTGTTACAATAGGCTACTTTAGTTACCAACAATTCACACATTTTCACATCCCTTTCAAATACTCTGCGAGTCTATTTTCGCTGCAGGCACACATCAAGCTAGACAGAATATGACAGCCCAAACAGGAAGTCAGACAAGGAAACGCAAAGAGCATCTGGTCAATTAAAAAAAACAAAAAAAACACAATATACGGACTCGCGATCGTATTTTCCATCACTTTATCAACATTACGGCACCGAATGAACACCAAACCATCTTTAGAAAGACAAAGTAACATGTTGTTTGCACATTATTCTCTCCTTATTCCCGTGGGATCTTGTAGTTCTCCTGTGATGTGTGTACAGATGATCTTGGGTGCACTCCGCTGCGCTGACGTTCCAGAAACGGATCCAGTGGGATCCACGAGCCGTCTGCAAGGGCAAAATCGTGGTGCTGACAGACCGCAGCACGCACGATATGTGTGAATTGGGGGTTATGCACAGTAATCATAGACTGTAAATAACATAATCAGTGACATCACCCATTCTCTGTAGAGTAGTTGCCATTTTGTAACCAAATGTTGGCGTTCGACATATTGGAAATGTTATCTCTACCTTACTTTTGACCATTCTAGTCACAGGCAAGGCTTAAGCTACAACCCACCAATGTGTCAGTCAAATCAGCTGCGCCCCAGTTAATGCAAATGTATGAATAACTCGCAGGCTTAATTAGAACAGTGAGTTACAGAATAAGTCATCCACCTTACAATGTGTACAAATAAAGAATAGAGCTATTCAGACCAAAATAATTTTAAGCCGTGTTTAATTATTCTGTAAGAATTGACATTTTACCTTGGTTAATGGAGATAAGCTTTTTGACCCTTAAATGCACCTTCAAGGAACTGCAGTTTTTTGCACTTTTGCACGGCCATAGTTTTGTGGCTTGACAGTTACTGGCTCTTGTAACACATGGAAATGACCCTTCTTTCATTTTTCTGCACAGGGCAAATTAATGAGGCAGCTGAAATGGGCTTACTTCAGGAGCAAGTGGAACATATTTGAGCTGGCTATCATATTACTGAGCTGGAGTGCCCTCGGAGTTTATATCAAGAGGACCCTGCTAGGAAACCGCGATATGACATACTACCAAAACCACAAAGACCAGTGAGACTAAAACATAATATACTAAGTTTCTTGTTTGTTCTTACGCATAGAGCATCTTCTGCTCTGTGTTGTGTGCTCATGTGGATGGACGTGTCAGTCTTTCTACTTTCAGATTGAAATATCTATCAGATGCATTGATGTGAAATTTCACTGGTCCCTGGATGATTACTGTTAATCAATCATTGATTGCTCTCCTGGCTTTTCATTACTTTTTCAGGTTAATGGAAATAAGATTGAAATATGATTGCCATGAAACTAGTTACACACTTTCAAAATCCTTTGAGTATGAATGGTGGTTCTCTTGACTCAATATCTGGCTCATCATCTTGTCAACTGTTCATGCTTATGACTAGACTTGCAAAAGGCATTGGTATTCCCATCAGATCCAAATATCTTTTGTGTAAAGTGTTTGCAGGATAATTTAAGCATGCAGTCAAGCACTTGCTGCGCACTAGCATAATGTTAGCCTTTAGCCCAAAGCTTGTTTTGTGTCTTGTTTATGCTAAACTTGCATTGAGAAGTCATTAGGATTATTTGACAGTGTTTTTTGGTGGTAGTCTTTACCCTCAATCTGTGATAGCTGAGGTATTTTCTGTGTCTGCAGATTTGCCAGTTTTTATGAGACAGCCACAGCAGACTCGGTGCTCCAGTATCTGATCGCCTTACTGGTCCTGCTCTCCACCATCAAACTGTGGCACCTGTTCAGACTGAACCCAAAGATGAACCTGATCTCTGCCACACTGGAGAGGGCCTGGGGTGACATTTCTAGTTTCCTGATGGTCATTGTGATCATGTTCTTGGCGTATTCCATTGCTGTGAGTATCTTGCCCCGTTATCTTGCCCCATGACTTTCTCCTTTTAGCAAAGAAAACAGGTTTCCGGTTCTTTAACATCGACGTGAACACTACTCACTGCTAAATGAAATTATGAAAATATTATAAATGAAGTGAAAGCTTTATTTAAGATCAACATAATTCTGAAAAATCTCAGTGAACTGCACATTTCAACCAAAATCAAAACCTACCTGAGAGTGGCAAGCCACATGACTGCAGAATAAAAGAAAATCCCCTGTGGTGTTGGGGTTGTTGTGCAGTGATGATGGGTGCTTGTATTTAATACATTCATCAATTTAAATGTTTCTAAGATGCTGAACATAATCCTCTATGGCCTAATTTGGACATCTGTGGCTTATTGGGTAGTATCGGTTGTCTCTCAAACGAAAGGTCGAGGATTAGATCCCCAGTTCCTGCAGCCACATGTCCGATTAGTTACTTCTGGTCTCTCTACATAGGGACCTCTGCCATCAGGTAGTGAATGGGTGTGAATTGCTGTGTAAAAGTGCTTTGAGTAGTCAGAAGATTAGAAAAGCGCTAAAAGCTCAAGTCCATTTTATCATTTAAATAGCGATTTAAGAATGAAGTGTATCATATATGACATAGTTATGACAATAAATCATTTAATAATATCCAACAATAACTATTTCACCAACTCTTTCTAGAGCAACGTGTTATATGGCTGGAAGTTGTGCCATTACAGGACTTTAACAGATGCTCTCCTGACCATCATCAGTTTGCAGATTGGTATCTTTAACTATGATGAGGTGAGATCTTCACCCTTACAGATTTCCTAAAATACTTGAATAAGAGGTATTCATTGTTGCAGAATCTCTCAACATTATCCTAGTGCATGAATAAGACTTTCCTTTCCCCCTCGGATGTGTTTTTTTCTTACGCTTATGTGCATGTCTCACTGATACACCTCTCCAGGTCTTGAACAGCAGCCCCTGGCTCGGTGGATTACTCTTTGGCTCCTGTGTTGTGTTCATGTCTTATATAGTGCTCAATCTCCTCATCTCAGTCATCCTGGTGGCATTCAACCAGGAGAAAATATATCACAAGGTAATTCTTCATTACAAATCATTACTCTAGGCACACATTCAAGGTGTATACTTTACTGTATACTCCGATTATTGAACAATATGCCTCCAAGAGCTTCGCCAAGGGCCATATCTGCAACCCTTTCTGTGGTTTAATAATATAATATATATTACAGTTACATTTATTTGCATTATACCTTAAAATAATTTCTAAAGCATTCATTTCATCATCATCGATTTACTTCAGCATCTTTTGCACTATTCACCACTGCACTGTTTCATATTTAGTCATGTAAATATTAATCTTTTCTTATTATGTTTATTGTTGATATTTAATGTTGTACCTGTACATAAGAGAGCATAGTTCACCAAAGTTAAATTCCTTGTATGTGTAAGCATACCTGGCCAATAAATCAATTTTGATTCTGAACAGAAGGGATTTCAGTATGGAGCAATTATGCAAGTCTGTCTTTTTTCCCAGCGTGAAACAAAAAAGAAACACTTGAAAAATGTCACAGTGGTAAAGGAAATCGATTTGAATTATTATTATTATCTCTGTGGGCATCCTTGTTCCCCCGTCACTGTGCAGGAACCATTATGAGACGTCTGTATTTTTCACAGTTTAAACAAAAACAGATGAATACAATCGGTTTATCATTTCCTTTCTTACCCAGCCGTCAGACGAGGAGGAGATTGTCGACCTGATGCTGAAGAAAATCTGTGGTCTTTTTGGCATCAGATATAAAAATGCAACAGACACAACGGGACCTGATGAAAATGGAGACATGGACTTGACTCTCAACAACAGCCGAAGCACCCCTTACAAGTCTTCAGCTGATGTAAAAAAATTTCAGACAACCAACCACCCAATGAATCCTCTGGGTTCATAGCTTTCTTTTGTTGTATTTCTTTTTTTTTGGGTGTTTTGAGATTTATTTCTATGCACCACCATTGATATGCTAATACACTTTTGTTTATTATTCTTTGCTTGTAACCAAGAACAAGGTCAGTGCATGCTGGACAGCTTTGTGAATATATTGTGATCAAAAACTATCAACCACAATTATACTGCTTATTGTTGGTGTGCTTAAGGATGGTGGTGTAAAAAGAGAATGATGAAGCCTAAATATGGTCTTATTTTGTGGGTCGTTTTCTTTTAAGTTACTCAAATACATTTAAATATAAAATTGTTGTTTTTTTAGACAATTCAGGAATCTAGGGACAGCAGTGGCCTAGTGCTATTTCAAAAGATAATTGCTGCAATGAAGCTCTGCAATCATTACGTCTTTGTACACTCATAGGTCTTCTGCAGCTGTGTAATAAAAGTGTCCCAGTCAGTTAATTCACATTGTGCTACAGCATATGGGAAGCATGACATAAAGAAACTATGGGTGCTCCATACACCCAGACATGCACACACACACACACACACACAGGTGCATAATGCCTCTGTGACATTCACATTGAAGGTGAGATGTCACAGTGGGCTAAATATTGCTCCTTCAACTGGCAGCCTGAAAATTGTTATAATAAAAATGTAGGACATTGTATATAATTTTTTAAATTTACATTTTAACTACGCTACAGAGACAAAGATCAAATACCAGCTCAACACAAACACAACACAAAAGCAATACATTACAATGAACAATTCAAGGACATTTTGCCAGGGATTACAGATTAGATTACATCAATATGATAGATTATAGGGAATCATCCTCACTTCCCTTTATGAGGGTTTCTGCCTTCTATTTGCAACATGCAGGCCTCATGTTTAGATATTCTTTGATGAGTAGCCATGGTCCATCTAGGCCATTGCTATGAAGCCCGTACAGGGCTGAGGCTGCACGTTGCATCATTGTTAGTTCCATGAAGTCCTTCAGCCAGTTATTCAATACACGATTAAATTTCCATACTTTCCAATTCAACAAAAACATTTCTGGACATAGTGGTATAGCTTCATTTCTATGTTGGACTCCTTTCCAAAAAATACTTATTTCTGGCCATTGCCAAAACACATACTGTATATGAAGGAGCCTCTCTTTCCACAACCATGAAGGGACAGATATGACATATTAGGATTCATTTTATTCAGCTTGTGTTCAGTGATATGCTCTCTGGGTGTAAAATCTTCACCCTATGAGTTTATTTTAAACACATTTTGAAAGGTAGTTTGTATGCTGTATTATAGTGTCCCATTGTACAAGTGCTACGTTTTAACCGAATCACATTCCCATTGTTGTCTGACTTTATCCATATTACAACAGCAGGAGAGGGACATACACAAGTTTAGATAGAGTGCCTCCATTTGTTACTTTTTATTTTGATTTATTATCAGTATCTTTATCTGATGCCAATTATGGATCTGAGTTTCTTCACTACAGACTTATTTTGCCGATACTGTAGAAAACACAATCCATTAGAATTAAAATGAGCTTTCATTTCACTAAATGACAGCTTCCTCTCCTGCTGACAATTGGAGACAATTTTTCCACTCTTTATTAAACAGAGTTTTCTTCATGGACACGAGGGAAGCCATAATCCATTGATTGCACCTTACTTTTGTATCCCTTTGCTATGGTACATGACATTTGTATTGATTTTTAATGTTTGTGTGAGCTTGTGTACAGAACCACAAGAAAAAAAGCTGACATTTGCATTTGACTCCAGCCGTATCCACTTTCAGCCTCACAATGTCCATGATTGGCCCAAAGCAAGGGGAACTTGCCATTAAAGACTAAATGCATATTTTCAGCACCCTTTAGTCCTATGCTTAGACCAATTCTTGTTTGTTTTTTATACCCCAAAACAACATTATAAACAGCTTGTTAATTTCTCTGAACCAATATTCAGGCCATTTCAATTGAATCAAAGATATCACAAAAGAGTGTGGGATATACATTTATTTAAATTATTTCTGCTCGGCCCCAAAAAGATAATGCAAGTGTTCTTCTCCAATCGTTTTTTCCCCATCAATTAAGGTCCAATTATGTCAAAAATGATCTCAACATGGGAGATTATATTGATACCAAGATATTTCAGTCCCTCCTTCTTTCAAGCTATCGGATTAACAGCAAGATGTGCAGTGAAAGTCATCCCAATGAGAGGACTTGCTTTGCTCTTGCTCCAGTTACTTCTACACCCAGAAATATCACAAATAAAGCTCTCAGAAGAAGCATGGTTGAAAGAAATACATATCTTACCCTGAACTATCCATTAAGCAAAGATCATATTGATATTTCTAAAAGAAACCATGTGTATGTAATATATGACATGATGTTAACAGAGAACATGTGTTTATTGATTCAGCTCTCAATAGGCTGGATGTATGAGATCACTAATGAAGAAAAATCCCACATGGTAACATTGTTGTTATTTCAGTAGACAACTTACCTCATGCCATAGACAGACCTTGAGTGTTTATTCGTGATGGGAAAGCTACTTTTACTCAATTAGCATTAGTAAAAAAAGAGTAACTAGTCAGTTGGCATAGTAACTTAAAAAGTTTTTTTTTGCTCTCACATCAGGGGCGTGCCCAGATGTTTCTGACTGGGGTGGCCCAACTGTGGCACTAACCTATTGTGTACAAGGGTGGCCTGAAGTCTGATGTGCACACAAACTCAAACAAATAAATATCAATTATTTTCCCTTTCGAACCTAACCAATCATATGTACTACATAGCAACATTAGCCTAACTTTTTAATGACACAAATACTAAGATGTATGTTTGTAGATGTATGTCTTATTAAATAGAGATGCAAAGTTTTTTATTTACAATTTAAAGTAACAACAAACAAAAATATGCTACAATGATATGTAAAGAGAAATACCAGCAGTCTTTCCAAAAAAAGATGGTTTTAACATAAGTCTCTGACAGGGCAAATATCCAATCAGTTCAGGATTTTGGGGGTGGCCAATCACATTTCTGGGCCTATGCCATCCCTTGCCACCCCTCTGGACATGCCCCTGACTCATATTTATGGATTATTTAGTGTTGCTGTGGCACTGTAAGAGGAAACAACTCACAGATTTCATATCATATTATATAATAACATTGAAGCCATTTTCAATCTGTAGGTATTTTGCTTAAAGTTCTCTGAAGGTGACAGACTCAACAGTTCATAAGGGAAGCATGTCGTACGTATCTATCAGTCTGTTTAGTCCTGGCTAACAGATCGTGGAGCATGGCGGTGATTTGAAATCAAGCCTTCTCTGTTTGTATGGAATAGGCTTGCCGAGTGTGAGCTGCACCTTGGTTTTCGGAGTTTGAAAGTTATTAAGTTAAGGGTTTGAAGCACAAAGCCTTCTGGCAACTAAGCAGAAGCCTGATGTTTTGTTCAGTGCTTTGAAATATGAAAATGACTATTCTTGGCTGTGCACAAAGTTTTCCTTCCTGCACATAGACTTCAAATCCCCAGATTATTCATACTAACTCAAGCAGGGAAAAATAATGCTGGTATTTCTAAGTCAGAAAGTTCACGTCTGAATGATCTTCAGCCTGTGCACATGATATTCTTTCTCCCAGGAAGCTACTATCAGCATTCACTCTCCAAGCCAATAGATGTCAATAAACCTTGATCTTATAGTTTTTGGCTACGTCATGGAAAATTACGAGCGCTTTAAAATTTCTGTAATTGTAAGGAAGTCATTCAAGGAATGCATAGAGCAAAATACAACCCAATATATTCCCGACTGTATCCCATCACTTTATCAAAATTACATCAAACGGGAATCAAACGAACAACAAATCCACCTTAGAAAGGCAAAGTAACCTGTTTATTTGCATGTTGTTCTCTTTATTCTCATGTGATCTTGTAGTTCTCCTGTGAACCTGCGTGTCCAGCTACTCAAAATTACTACTCTCATCCATCTGTATTATTGTATTATAGTATGTTCATATTATGTCCATATTCTTTATATTATCTGTAACTAGTATAGCATGCTCACTGCATCTTAATCTGTATATTATTAGTATAGCATGCTCACTGCATCTTAATCTGTATATTATTAGTATAGCATGCTCACTGCACCTTAATCTGTATATTATAATCCTAAGAACACACTTATTTTGTAGCATTACTTATTTATAGCATTTATTTATATTTATTGCATCCCATTAATCCAGCCATCCAGATTTACCTAATAATTCACTTTTTTTGTCTACATCTGTAAATTTTGCAATTACTGTACATAGCACAGAATTACTGTACATAGCACAGACTCTTGCACTTTCTGCTTATTTGCACTTCTGGTGAGATGCCAAACCTCATTTCGTTACTCTATACTTGTATATGTGTAATGACAATAAAGTTGAATCTCATCTCTCATCTCATCATGGATAGTCTCCACAGCGCTTACGCCTCAGAAACTCACCCAGTGGGGTATAGGATCCCCGCTGATGTAAGGATCAAAGCCACTGCAAAGATGGAACTCAGTGCACTCTGTGCCTGTGGAAACCAACAGTTATTGTGCAATCCAGCACATACACTTTGCATCGCATCCTAAAGAGTAAAGAGTGGATGACACCATAACCATGCTGTGTGAGGTAGTAATTATTATTATTGAAATATTTCTTTGAGATGCATTGCCCAAGCCATAGAAATCATTCCCAGGGCTATGTTGGTTCCTCTACAGCAAACCATTAAAAAGCCAGAAAGTGAAAGTGAAGCCTATAATCAGCCCAGACGGAATTATTCCATCCCACCAGCAGCTCTTGAAGAGTGCTCATGGTGGTTTTCAAGGCTGATAAATATTGGTGGTGAATGTTGAAACCAAATGCAGAGCTATTAAGCATTTTCCCCTCAACATGCAGCAATTGAAGATTTCTCAAGTACACTTTGCCTATGGATTCAATGGTTGGATGTGGGTTTGTGTGTGTGTGTGTGTGTGTGTGTGTGTGTGTGTGTGTGTGTGTGTGTGTGTGTGTGTGTGTGTGTGTGTGTGTGTGTGTGTGTGTGTGTGTGTGTGGTGGGGGGGGTGATGAGGCTTCATCTTCTCATATATTCTAAGAGAGAAAGGCGGGGGCTGTGAGAGGCACTTGATAACCTTGTTAATTGAGTCTGGAGTCTTAGTAATTACAAATATTTTCCTCTTGAGATAAGTGAGCATATGACTGAATCAACAGAAATAAAGGTCACATTTGTCACTCATTCACAGAGGAAATAGCAGTATCTTTGCAATATTTTGGATTGGCGGTTGAGGTACAGCAGGTACAGGAACAAAAAGTACACTGATCATCTGCAACATCTCGCTGAACTGATGCTTTCAGTTAATTAAACTCTGAGGGAGGCAGGCAATGTTCTGTCCTATAGTTATCCTAGTTAAAATGATGTATTGCAATG